GGACGGAACATGACATAAGTATAAATAAATAAATAAATACGGAAATAAATAGATGTATGAATAAATACAGGAATAAATACAGAAATTAATAAATAAATACAGGAATAAATAAATGAGGAAATAAATACAGAAATAAATAAATGTAAGTGACTGTGAATGTAGAAATATATCAAAGATATATAATAATGTGTGCTGTGTTTTATTCTCGACTTGTATTTATTTATTTCCATATTTATGCATGCATTTATTTATTTGTGTATTTATTTCCACATTTTGTTATGCTTTTTATAAAACAAACCTCTTCCTGTGTGACTAACAGTGCAAAAAGAGACCCTGTAAAGAAGGCCATTGTTCTCCTATTGGCTGACACCAACAATCTGAAATCTGCGGATGTTTTGGACAGATGAAAGGTTTTCTTTATCAAAAGATGATTGTAGTTGTGCTTGAAATATCTTACCATGGCATCACATCAGCTATGTTTGGACCACTATCCACAGGATTAGCGCTTGAGAAAGGGATTTACTTGAAACGCTTATGCTTAAATTCAACAAACTGTATGTGGCTGCTGCACTCACTGAAAACACACACAAACGCACACAAATATATTAAGATGCCTGCGTTAGTGATACTTCTTCAATGGTATTTTTTAGAAATTCAATGTTTAACAGTGCAACAAATAATGCTACATTATCTGCAAACAATCACGATAAGATTGTTTACACTTCATCCATTTGTGGGATGAATAATTATCTGCACCCAAGTGTCCTTCTCTTGTCACAAGTCTCAGTATCTGTGACACATTTTTCACCTTCACGCCACAAACATCATCAACAGTTCATTAACGTTTCATGAACTGCTTTCACAACCACAGGGTGAGGCAAGATTTAAAAAGAAAATTGTTTTATAATCCCATGTGCAAATGTGTTTCTCCATGCAAACATGTGTGAGTGAGTACAACTGAACACTGTCACTATTTGGGCAATTAGTTGTTGTCAGGTTTCCAAGCAGATCCGGGGACCATCTGCTTCTCCTTGCAGGATGAGCAGAATACACATACATGGTTTTTTCACAGAGCGCCCTTTGCTCAACTCAAATGTGATTCAACTGCAGATGTATACAGCAAAGATGGGAAACTGGGGATAGAGAGAGAGAGATGACAAGTCCCTAGCAGAGTCTTTTCAATATACACTCAACATCCTGAGTGTCCAAATAATACAGAGAATAGTGATCTGCATACAAAGGAATCGGTTGTTGTATATTTTCTGGTGATTTGTTGCAGCCGCATGCATAAATTGTAATTATGTGTGTGAAAGTATTTCTTCCAAACCTGATCTGGAAGAAAAATGCCTAATGTCACCAGCAGTGACACAAAGAAAAGGTATTTTGAGCAACATCATGTCTCACTGTCTGTATATATGCATGCTTATTACATTTCCTTTGCACCAGTTTTGGCTGCTCTGAATCAATGTTTGATCTTTGTTCAGTCCTGAATCAATCAATGTTACAGTGCAATGACAGAAGCCTCACCTGCGTCCTCTCATCCTCTTTTTCATTCCCTTTCCTTTTCTGTCGCAGATCTTCTTAACACAAATCTGTATGCATGAATAGAAACTGGCTGCACTTCAAATGCCAGCGAAACTCATCCTGTCCCCCGGCTTGTGGCGATCTTGTGCTCTGCTCATCCTCCTGACATCAACATCTGCAGCGCTCTGAGCCCTCATAAGGCAAATTAGAGCAGGATGCGTGATGTAGACTTCTATTTCCCTCCGAGCAGCATGGTTTCTTGTTCTCTGGCAAAGAAGAAGAGCTCATAAGAAGATAATTGGGCCGCTGACACTTTACTCAGGCTGCACTGTGAAGACACTCATTTTGCTTCTCTATAGGCACACTCAAGATTTTTTCTTTTTCCAAAGCCACAGGGAGCCCCATGACCTCTGGCAGCCTCTGCATCGTGTTCACAGACCGTCAGCTCACTGCAAAAATTCCTTCTGCTTTGCTTCAGTATGTGGTGACATAGCGGCACAACAAACCAGAAGAAACAATCACAAGACTATCTGCTCTAAAACTAAAGGATCGTTTTCCATCTCACTTGTATGAGTAGAATATGCCAAAACAGGTATAGCAAATGGCAGACTATTAGAGGAGGTTTGGCAGAGAGGAGGACTCTGTTTCTGCCTCTGATCTGAGGATATAAACATCCACTCTCTCTGGTCTGGCCTTCACCTCTGTGTGTGTGTGAGACAGTAACAGTGCCTGTATTTGTGCAGTGTGGCACTGTGCCATCCACCTTTTCTAGATGGACCCTGGGGAGCATTTTTAAAACATTCAGGCAAGCAATCTCCCTAAATCACGTTATTTATGCCTCTCTTGTTTGTGCTACCCACTCAAGGCTATCTTTGCTGTATGATTTGAATTTCCTGGCATATGCTGCTGTAAGGAATGGTAAACAGCGAAAATGCCTTTTGAAAGCTCCGACAAGAGCACAAATTGTTTGTATATAAAAGCTTTACAAATATTTGAGAGGGATTTTCATGTTTGCAGTCATTGCTCTAGTGATCAAACTGACTGGATGTTTAAGCACTCAGTTTGCAGTGAGGCAGCAATATGGGGAGGAATGTATTACTCACATTTATCTTTGAAGCTTATCCTGATGGTCTTCTTATCCTAGGATTAGTTGAACATAACAACTTCAAATTATGTTTTTTATCTTAATTTCTTATTGCTCTATCTAACACTAGCAGTTGTCATGCTCTGCTTAGAGTATAATCTGTTGATTTTTGTTTTATTTGTCTTATTTTTTATTATTTTTTATCTATTTTTCATTAGTTTGTATTTGTCAAATCTGTATTGTCTGATTGATGTTTTATCAAATTGTGGTTAAATTGTCTTGTTGATGACATCCTTGAAAAAGAAAGGGTTCATCTCAAGTAGTTATTCCTCACATAAATGCACTTTTAAAAGGTCACTTCAACCAAATTACAAAAAAGACGTGTACGACTAGTTGGATCTAGCCATGCAGATAGATTAGCTTTCATATTTGAAGATGTATTTCACTGAGTTTGACAGCATTTCAATGCAAGGAACAAGCTCAACCTATATGCTTCTTCTTTTTGAACAGAGATTCAAACAGAGTCTTAACCAGTCATTGTAAGACATACTACATCCTGTAATTGTAGGTGTATTGATCCATTGCTGTGCTGCTCCGGTGTCAGGTAACAGTCATCACTACTGCACACTTTGAATTGTACCTCTTCATACAGTATCTCATTATGCTACATGATGCTCACACACTTTATACTACATGTGAACGCAGCAGCTGTTAGACAAACACTGGAAATATGAGAAGCATGCATTGCTTGGTTCTCCTGCAGGTAGACCTTCATCTTTTGTTGCATTTCATCCAGTATTTAAGGTCTGGCAGATGAGTGACATATTTGATTTAACCTCCATTTACCCTGTGGGTGTTTGCTGAGTATGCTTCTGTTAAGTGCCTGCAGCTTTTTGAGGTTCGGAGGTAGTTTATTTTCTTTCCTTCTCCTACGTTTCTCCACTCAGTTCTGTGGATGTTAAAAAGGAGCCTTACAGTGCTCCCTTTAGCCTCCATGCTGTAAGCAACCTTTTTTGCAACCAGTATGAGACATAGAGAACTAAAAAAGAACATTTTAGTGGCTGCACATAATAATTAGGCAATATATTCCTGACACCAGTGCTGCCAGCAAACAGAAACACTATTCCCAGGTCAGACATCAGCTCAGACAGATGGCTGTGAGGATGAGAGTGAAATTTCTAATATCTCTGCCAGTGTCTCTTTGGTCCACCCCATTGACTGGCTGCTAGATTCATTTAAACCCCACATTGGCACCTATGGAGCATGAATGTGTGTAGCTACAATAAACACAATAAAAGAACCAGCGTTGTGTTTGTGTGGCTCTCCAAGGTCGATAGTTTATGATATGATATTTGTCTCTGAGGATAATGAGTTTGGTCTCGCTGACCGTGCTAATGATCTGCTGGGTTCAAGGATAATTAGTGTTGCTCTCTGGCAGGTTTCATAGGGATCAGGATACATTTGTTATTGTCTCACAAATAGTTGTAACGGGGTCAAACGTGTTGTACATGTTGCAAGCACGAGTAAGGCGGAATTAGATAGACCTGCAAAGCTTACTTTGTGTCCAGGATGGATACAAATGTACAAAATAAACATAAATAAACAATACATAATTGCATGATATGATAATAACCTCTTTGCCTTCTTAAATTGGAACATGTGGATGTGTTGTGAATGAAACAATTTGATAGCTTACATTTTGCAATATTGACTAGCATAGTATAGGCCTCATAATGACCACAGTATCAGGGAGTGATGAATAGCATTACACCCCGACAGCATTCAACAAACCAAATGCCCTGACTAGAGAAAACTAAATCTGTTATATGTGGGTTTTGCAGAAATATAGTTAGTTGGTCTGTATAATATATCCTTACCTGCCCATCTGCCTGCTTTAGATGGATGCCTGGACAGAGGGGCTGTCAGCTCGCTATAATTGTATTGAAAAAAAAGTTTCAACACTGGGCTGTGTTTTTTTAGTTGGATAGTTTTTTAAATCTATCTCGCTCTTGCTGGTTTCTGTTACCTACCCAAGCTTTAATGATGTCACTATTGATTGCTTTGTTTTCTTAATGCTTTCTTCTCCCTCTCTCTCATTGCTCTCTTCTTTTTTCTCCTCTCTTTTCTTTCTTCTCATTTCTGCCCTGTGTTCTTTATATGAAAGCCTGACCTTGCAAGGTCATACGTAGACCTCAAATGTTTGTGTTAAATTCCCCTGTATATCATGTTATGACCTGCTGAGCTGTGCATTAAATCAGAAGTTGTGTCAGCCGGAGCAGTGGCCTAATGGGAGCCAAGGTTGGGGCACTTTGGCCTTGTTTCCACAGTAGTGATGAAGAGTAGGAAACTCATTTTGGAAATCAATGTTGTTCTCTTTCCCTCTCTCTTGCAGTCTCAGCAGAAGTGCATTGTGATCTTTGCTTTGGTCTGCTGCTTCGCCGTGCTGGTGGCACTGATGTTCTCAGCGGTGGACTTTTGGGGTGAAGATGAAGACGGGATCACAGAGGAGAACTGTAGCAGGAACTGCAGGTGAGTGCTGCAGAACAAAGGTTGTTCTGCAACATAGGGTTGGCCAAAAATAAGATTGTAGCTTAGTCCATTTATGCTACACAAGTAAAACATGACTAAACAAAACAGAAGAACAACAGGAATAGAGGGGCTCTGTAAAGATGTATGTGGGCAAAATACTCTTTTCCAATGGTTCTCAATGGTTATGGCTTTGTTCAAAACACTACACAGGGTTGTGCTTGTGGGAGTGTGCCTACTTCGTGTCGTATCAACATTTAATGAGTTAAAACTTTTCTTTCAAAATTGAATGAGGTTAAACTTTTTTTCTTCTTCAATACACCCAGTTAAGTTACGCCAAACCTTAACCAAGTAATACAACCAGTATTATATTTTTTGCTAAATCAAAATTATTTAAAATATTTCCTTCCAAGTTGACTACCCATATGTAAGATACACTTGGTGCAAAGCAGAAAAGCAAAATAGCAAATTAATTTAAGGACAAAGAGCTTTTCAAGTAATGGTTGACATTATTTAGGACCGTTTGTTGGTGTCTGTAGTATTTATGAATTAAACCCATATTTCATACCCCATTTTGCCTTGGCCTTGCTCTCTGTGCATTTCTGTACTTTACCTGTTCACTCACTCCAACATCTTCCATTGCTAGAAAGGATGATTGTTTTTTAGCTCCAGTTTCAAACCATAAATCAAGTCCAGTCTGAGACACTATGCGATCCAGCAGCTCTAACCCACTGTCACTAGAAAGGAAAACTGCAATGTAGAGGCTGCAAACACCACTGCATTGCTTGCATTCATTTAGAGGGAGTGTACGCTCGTCTCAAAGTAAAACATGGAACATGTCAAGTAGCCCCAATACATAAAAAACGTGTGTCCCCTAATCCTATTGTAGCCTCCCCCCTACCTGAAATGATTACCAGGCTCTTCTGATAGTTTCTTTAGCAAGTTTCAAATGGATCCCCAGACACAAATCCACTGCAGTTTGTTCTGGTGGTGAAACTGGCTGATCAGCAGTCATTTTCTCTGATACAGCAATCCTTGCTCTCCACTTCCTACTGGTTCCCCCCCATTAGACTCGTATCATCCAATTTACCATTCAGCTTTGAATTACTTCCCCCTCTCTGTCTCTTTCTTAATGTCCGTGTCCATCTACTCTCTTCCTCCTTTTCCCCAAATCAGCCATTTAATAACCTTTCAGGGAACTCTATCAGGAATCCCTCTCTCTTCCACTTACAGCTGAAAGTGTAATGCAAACTTGTAAAGCTAAATGTGGACTCCTCTCCTGCTACGAAGGCCTCCTAAAGCTCAGGGGTTGAATGGGAGATGAATACGAGGCTGAGGAAGGGAGGAAGGGTGAGCCAGATGGAGGGAGAAGAAAATGAGAAAATATAAGTAGATTTTTGGGTTGGAATGAGTTTGAAATGAACAGATTCATCAGCTTTTATGGGCAGTTCAATACTCAAACTCATTACAGAAATGTGTAGTGAAATTTGTTCCCAATTTGCCCTCTTTTTTATATCCAATTGCCTTAATTATAAAGTTTTACTGTGACATGTATCATATGAAAGAGCTGTAACGCGTGCAAGTGTAACATAATTGATGATTTAGTTAAAATATTTGGTTCAAAGCAAGTTCCAGTACGTAATGGGCAAAGTGATAGATTACTATTTGACTATGAGAGGCATTTATAATGGGGTTCACCGAGGCTTACTCGTGCTCAATTAAGTTCGTTAAGGTACAGGTATGTATCAAAGAAATGCATGAAGCCCTTCTGAGTCTGTATTCAACCTTGAATCGACAGGGTGAATGTAAAATGATCAAGAGATTAACTCACAAATATAATTCATAACTATTTCTTCTTCATCTTCACACAGTAGACTGAGCTTCTCTCTTGCCTTGCTTTGCTGCCATTAAAACACTCTCTCTAGCCTCAGCAGTTGTTATGTTTGTAAAGTTAATTCAGACATGTCTCATGCAGCTGGTTCTTTTGTTATGCAGATGTCCCTTTCATCTATTTGTTCCTGCATAATAAACAGTGCTAATGCTTGCATCTCAGGGACAGGAGACCTGGGGTTGCCTGCTGTTATTGCATCTGAATTAACACATTTCCCAGTGATGCAGATAGATTATGATGCTCACTTCATGTAATGAATTGTCTGGTAATACAATCAGAACCTCAATTTGATTCATATTCCATCTGATGAACAACAACCTCAGCTATGATTGCAGTACAACATGATTTCTCTAGGCTTTACAAGACTGTCTGTTGCTTTGTTGTTGGAGCAAAGCAGTCGCAGGTCCATCTGACAGTCTGATGAGTTGTGCAATTGTGTGTAATTGCCTGGCGTCAGATAGATAATAAGCAGGTTAGGATTGATTTTAAATTGCCTTGTGGAAAGGCTGAAACAACAGAAAACCCCAGTTGCTGCATCGCGAAAATGTTGTTTTAAGACGCTTTAAGACGGATCATTTTGCATTGTAGTTTAAATATTACATTTCTTCCACTATTGAGCAAAGGGACATTATGAATTAAAAGTGTTGAAAGAACAATCAATGATTCAGTAATGCATAAATATTTACCAAAGATTTAAAAGTGTGTTATTTAAAAAAAAGAGTACCAACAAGCAATTAATTTATCTTAATTTCCTTAATCAACTCACACGTTAATGCTTTTAATTCGGAGTCTCCAAGAACCACTTTGTTTGATCAGCAGCATTGAATTTAAAGAGAGAACCACAAAGAATGACTTTGCTTACTTGCTCTGCAGTGGCCCACAAAAATAAGATTGCAGTTTGGAAAACATGGGGGTCAGAATTGATGAAAAGTTATTTCTGGAAACTCAAATGTTAGGACTTGGGTCCTGACTTGTGAATTGAGTGCAAAGACTCGACACTTACTTGGGAGTTGTTTAAAATCAGTATCTTGAACAACACACATACGTCAGGTCTGATAAGTGAATGCAAACTACTGGCCATCGGTCAAAATGGCAGGAACATGACAGCAGAGGTGACAGACATGGAACAACGTAATACGCTAAGTACTGGCACTCTACATTAAAGTGGACCTATCATGCTATATTTGAAACATATATTGTAGGGCCATACCTATATAAAACATGTCTGTGAAGTCTTTTTTTCAAAATACCAAACAGATCATGCATTTTAGCCATGCCTCATTTCACTTTATTTGCTCTTTTCCAGCCCTGTTTTTGCAAGGGCTGATTCTGTGAGAAGTCTTCTTCGCTGCTTTTGTGGCAGACTAGAGCGCCAATTACAGGCCTGGCATATGTACTACAGCGTCTCCAGCGCTTTCGAGCGGCAATGGCCGTGGCCCAACCCCCCATTCCCCTGATAGGTGGAGAGTTGCCCATATAGGCGGAGCTCCCTGTTTCTGACGTCAGAACAATTTCAAATCTGGATCAGCTCCGTTGCAGCCCCGTTTTTAGAGATTTGGGTATGGAGGAAAAGAGAGAGGGTTGTGTTTTCTGACACTTGGTGAGTTCCCTGACACACCGGGGACACATATTCATGTATAAAAGACGTACAAAAGTGCATTCTGCATGATAGGTCCCCTTTAATTTGCATGAGAAACAGAGAATAATGGTTAAAAGCTATTTTAATTGACTGTCCCAAGATCAGATAATGTATTGAAATCAACATATACATTGTGTGTACAATGACGACAGTGTTCTGGTTGTACCTGATGAAACACTAGACTTGGCATTTACCTTTTAAAATGAGAAGCATGCAGGGAGCAGTGCAGCAGAGGCTCCTGATGCACATATTAATGTCCTGGCTGCTCACCCAGAGCTCAGGGCAGCTCAGGAGAGGCTGGATAATTTATATCAGATGTCAGGCGCTGACACTGCCACATCCCATGCTGTTACACTAAGTGTGGTGCAGCAGGCACTCTGGTCCCAAGCATGTGTATGTACAGTACAGTATCCTAATCCTGATCTTTTTGTTTGGTAGATTCACTTGCATCAGCCATGACATCTCTGTAAAGGTGTGACATCTGTTATTATTTAAATCATCAGGAGGGGAGTTCATCTTTTGATCCAACTGTACCACAACTGTTCTTACCTACCACACTGTGAAAATAAGAATCCATTATCATTCAGAGAGTGATTTCACATTCAGACACTCTCTGTCTCAAGTGCGCACACACACACACACACACACACACACACACACACACACACACACACACACACACACACACACACACACACACACACACACACACACACACACACACACACACACACACACACACACACACACACACACACACACACACACCCACACCATGAAGTTTACACCACTTAATGTAGGTATTGGATGCAGGGAATGAATAACACCCATGAGTGCGCAGATGGTTAACAATGGAGGAGACCAGCATCGACATCACAGACTGCATAAATCGATGAATCCCTCGCAGGCAGAGAAGACTACCTCCCTCCTTTTTCCCACTATTAATACAAAAGCCTGTCTGTTTTTTGAAACGACCATTCATCAAACCTCCCGGCCATTACAGCTGACTGAGAGGATTTATTTTAAAATAAGATTACCAGTCCTCCTCCTGCATCTGTGTACCATCCATCCTTGTTTTGTGAGTTGTTTACTGTCGCTGTCCTAGTTTTGCCGTCATTATTGAACAAAGGAGAGTACACTGTGTGATGTGAACGTTAAGCTTCTCTATCATCAGTCCGCTCTATTGGTTTGTTTGTGTCTTGTTGCACTCCTCTTTCTGTTTTTCTCAGTCCAGTTTCCTCAGTAGTAGAAAAGCCAACTCTTCTTGAGATTCTCCCAAACTCTGCTATTAATATGTCAATTCCGTGAGGCATTGTGAGTGTGAGTCTTGCAGTGTGACCCTTGGCCACTTTCCCAAAGCTGACTAAGGTGGACTTTATACAGGAATACATTTTCAAGCTGAGTACTGGCAGCTGGCCCTTCAATATGATGATGCCTGTGCATTATCACCTGCAGCTCCTGCGCTCGCCTGTGTGCCCTTGAGTGAAGCACTCGATAGACCCCGAGCTGTCAAACCTTAGCTGACCCTGAGCTCTGACAGGTCCGACTGCTAACTTCAGTTTGGTGCTACAGAGTCTTCCAGGAAGTCTCTTATATGTTTTACAGCCAGAAATGGAAAACGAAGTGTATAAAAAGTCTACTAAATGAACCATCCTAGTGCTGAAGAGTCTTCTGGTGTGTAATGAGCCACATATCTTTGGTAGATTGCAAATGTAAAGTGACAATATCTCCATGTTTTATCAACAGCTTGTTCTGTGGCCCCCTCAGATTGCCCAAACCCTTTTTTTTTACTGCTTGAAGATTATATTAATGTTACTTGAACCTTGACAGATTGCAGGTTACATTACAATAGACGTCCATTCTAATTTTACTGTTTTGTGATGCATCATAAGTTAGAGATGAAATAAAGCACTCTATTTTGCCACGTTTTATGGTTTGCAGAACATGACTTATTCATTTGACCAACCATTAAACATTTATTGCACATTCAGTCATAACATCTATCCATGTCTGCACTGTTAATGGTTGTAAAGTGTGTGTTGATCAGATTAAAATAATAATAAAGTCATGTTTAAAAGGGTTCCTCGGGTAGACGACTGTGGTTTTAACTTCACTTCTACCATTCACACTTAATAAATGAATGAATTATAAGAATAGAATAGATTATAAAACTAGGTACCTCATAACTGCATGCTCTGAGCAGTCAACCTAGTCTGCAGTATATTTTCCAAATGCTTCTTATAAAATTCATGGAATTTAGTCCAGACGCTCAGATAGTTACTTGGAAAACATTTTATACAGAAATGTAATCAAGCACAGCGATGTAGAATTTATATCCGAGTTCTCCCTCACTGAGCATCCTCTCCCCATTTATGTTTTCTTATAAAACCAAGCAAGTAGAAATCGATGTCTGAGCCAGATCCAGAGAGAATTGGGTGAGCGTTGGAGCTTGATAATAGCCTGGTTCTGTGTGGCTGCAGATCTGGGGCTGCCACGGCTAATTTAATCTGTTGTCTCCAGAGCTAATGCCCCTGTAGCTCCCAGACATCCTGTTGGGGTTAAACTGGAACTGAAGATTCAATAAAGGGACCTCTGAGTCATTTGAAGACAGATACATTTACATTACACCTTGGCAAAAAGGTGCTAGGATGTTCACAGTAATATATACAATCGCAAGACAAATATCACAAGAACATTTTCCACATAATTTATTCCTATGACAGTTGTATACATTTTCTGCATGCAATCCACTGAATCTGTCATACAGTAGATTGCCTCAGTATATAAATGCTTGTTGCAAGTACAGTATATTAGACTACCGCAGACTGCTGATGATTACATTAAAAAGCATCATGTGATAGCGCAGGCAGAGTGGTGAATATGGGGAACCAACAAGAATACAGCAAAAAATGAGAGAAAATATCCCTGACTAGGTGTAATTGAATCTGCAATGCTGACAGCATCACACTTCAATTATTCTCACCCCCTGCCTGGGGCAACCTGTACAATATTTTATGATGCTTGAAGGAATCTGAAGGCATGTGTTGTCGAGATATCTTGATAAATCTCATTAGGCTAACGATCCAGAGGAAGGGTGGTGTTAGTTAATTTGTCAGTAGTAAGAAGGAAGGGTTGTAATCCCCAATCAGTTGCACCGAAGCTCGTCAAAATTCTGCTAGTAATGCAAACCGATAATTGCTTTGTGAAAGACATTCATTTCCTCAGCACTTCTCTATTAACAGGTCTCTATGGCTCGGCCTAATGAGGTCTTTCTGCAGTTTTTTCTTAATGAAGGTCCAAAACTTCACATCATTAGGTTTCTTCTTTACTCGTTTTTTTCTGTGTTTCTTTTCCACAGAGTGGTGCTTGTGGAGAACATCCCGGAAGACATCTCTTTCTTAGACAGTGATACATCCCACCTCCCCCTCTCAGAGGGGCTGTACAGCTTACTGGACCGAGCCATCCGAGTCGTAGAGATCGTTTCCCCGCTGTGGCTCCTCAACTCCTCCGATTATGAATCCAGCTTCCAGCCTGCTGCCAGACAGGTAAAACCAGAGCAAGTCTCCAGGGACTCTGCAGAAGACCTTTTCTCAGTATCCTCTTTGTGTCCTTGCCTCCTTTACACAATGACCAGTGATAAGTATAGTACTACTTTTCTTGGTTTTGATAAAAGCTTATTTAAAAGAAAAACTAGCAACTACATTTGTCAAATAACTGAAGGGGGAGTCAACATTTCGATATTGTCCATAACATATGTGTGAAGTAGCATTTAATGTCGAAGTAAAGTAAAGTAAAATTGTACTTCAGCTCCTATAATAATGAATGTAAAGTGCGACAGAGGATGCACTTTATCTGCATTAAGCTGTCCAACATTGTGGCTTTTAGGTTTTATCTCCACCCCGGCTCATTAGGCACACTGCACAGCTAACACATCATCGTTTTATCTTCAAATTACATTAAAGTAGGTTTTCTGCTTCAGACAAATTAAAGAGTAAAGTCAAAGAAGACCAAAATGACAGAATGAGTTATATGTTTTGAGACACAAATGATCACTAGAGCAGGAAATCAATAACTGTCTCTGCAGAGTTGTAGGCCGTACTTGCTCGTAAAGAAAATAGTCTGGGCCGTTTTCAGGCTGCTTGAAGGGAGCTATTCATTTTGAAATTGAAGTGGATGTGTGTTATTGAGAGTTACCAGGCTCTGCACGCACACACACACACACACACACACACACACACACACACACACACATACACACACACACACACACACACACGCACATACGCACGCACGCACACACGCACGCACGCACGCACGCACACACACACACACGCACACACACACACACACACACACACACGCACACACGCACGCACGCACACACGCACACACACACACACGCACACGCACACGCACACGCACGCACGCACACGCACACGCACACGCACAGCATGTCAGGGCTAATGAAAGCCTGGGGCTGTTGATTGGAAAGTAATATTTCCTTTCTGAGGCCGAGCCCGAGGCCAGAGAGAGATAATGGCCTTTCAGCCTGCAGCACTCTGCAAAAAGCTGCCAAAAGATATAACTCACTGGGACCGGAAAATATAATATAATGTAAAGGCAAAGCTAGAAGACATAGACGTGGAGATGCTCTCGTAGCCGATGTGAGTCTGTCCTGCAGAACTATTTTAAGGTGTGATGACTCAACCCAAAAGTTTAGCTGTCGTTAACTTTCACCTCAAATCATAAAACATTTAAAAATTCAAGATATTCCTGAACTGTGCTGTGCAATGCATGAGCATCTCACATTACTGATGTGGTGGCTGACTATATGCAAAGATATGAAGGGTGCTTTGCTTCACTTTTTGCAACATTTGTTCAAACCTGAAAACAAGCCTACCAATATCACTAAGCTAAAATGCAAGACATTCTCTTGGAATAAATACAAGTTAATGTGTGTATATGTATATCACAACATGGGGTAGGGTTATATTGTAATCTCTAAAAGGGCACCAGTGGTTTAGTATTATATGTCATAAAAAACAGGGCCTATACACATTCTGTATAGAGAATAATTTGTAGAGATATTCTGTGTTGTAAGTATGTTTAAAGCCTCAAGAACACTGTATCCCACCTTACAGCAATAGTCATTTTCCTTGGAAAGTATACTTCATAAAAACAGCATCTATGTGACTTAAGAAATCTGGTGGCAGTGATTTATATACTGTAGTTTAATGACTTATATTTTTGGGGCTATTAGGAATGACCGTAGGGAGCTGAAGGAACAAAAAAAAGTGTCACCCACAAATATTTATACTTGATCAATACAAAAAAGAAACCAGGCTTTTTTGGCTGCAGGCAAAGGACGCCTAATCAACTGGCACATATTAGAGACAATCTAAGCAATATACAAGAATCTTGTCTAAATACAAAGTGCATGGATTTCACGTGACAGCAGATGATTTATGCTGTGTTCCCCTCAGGGCAGGGCTCTGCTGTCCAAGCTGCAGGGCCTGAAAGCTCGAGGCATCCAGCTGAAGATCTCCAGCGGGATGATCGACTCCTCTGAGCTCGATCTGCTCGCCAAACACTGTAATATACATTCTGCCTGTCTGTGTTCAAACATGCTGCCGTTTACAGTAGCTCGGTCTGTTGGCTCTTACTATTTGTTCTGCTCATCTTTTCATTATGTCACTCTCTTTCTACCTTTCTGTCTTTGTGTTTCATTGTTGTATTGATTCTGTTTCCGCCTGATCGGCTTCAATCTTTCTCTTTGTCTCACATGCAACTTCTTTCATTTTAATGTTTCTTAAAGAGGATATATTCTGCTCACTTTCAGGTTCATATTAGTAATCTGTGTCTCTACTGTGACATGTTTCCACGCTTTAATGTTCAAAAAGCTCTTTATTTTTCTCATACTGCCTGTGCTGCAGCACCTCTTTTCACCCTCTGTCTGAAACCAGAGCCCAGTCTGCTCTCATTGGTTAGTTGGCCGGCTCTCTTGTGATTGGTCAACCGCTTAGAGATGTCCCGCCGCTTAGCCTATCACCTACAATGTGTTAGAGCGCTAGCCAATTGAAGCAGATGTTACATAGTGATGTCATTATGTTACAAAAGTAAACACAGGAGTCTGTTCTTTGCTTAATCTCTTGTTCTCTCTCTCACTCTCCACTAACCCTAATCCTAACCCTAACCCTTACTAGATGCTGAAGTCCACTATGTGAACACGACCGCGCTGATCAGAGGCAGCATCCTCTCTTCCTTCTGGGTGGTGGACAGGAAGCATTTCTACATCGGCAGCTCCAGCATGGACTGGAGATCCCTTGCCACAGTATTTATCACACAACACACACAAAACACTAACTCGTACCTGAACATATGCAAACACACAAATACACATATAACAATACTCATACTTAAAGATATGTGGCAGAACATGTAACATCATAATCTCAGTTCTTAAGATGCAAATTGTTACATTTACAAATCTCAATTTCAATTCTCTGTTGTCATTTGGTATCCAACGGATAAACATCAGATTTAATTACAAAACAGGCTCTGTATCCCCTAATGTAAATTGCTTTGAAAATGTTCTACTGGCTCAGACCAACAACAAAAACACATTTGATTTGATGTTTCTAGTCCTCTAATGCAAAAAGTGTTCCCTCCTGAAAACAACATGTCATGATTTCCTGTTAATTAACTTAAATGACACAAGATATTTATATATATTTCAACACATGTAATACATAACTCTTCTACTTTAAAGGGGACCTATCATGCAAAATGCACTTTTGTACGTCTTTTATACATGAATATGTGTCCCCGGTGTTCCAGGGAACTCACCAAGTGTCAGAAAACAAAACCCTCTCTATTTTCCTCCATACCCAAATCTCTAAAAAAGGGGCTGCAACGGATCTGATACAGACTGATCCAGATTTGAACACTTCTATGTCGTCACAGAAGTGGCGCTACGGCTATTGGGCCAACTCTCCACCTATCAGGGGAATGTGGGGTTGGGCCACGGCCGGCCATTGCCGCTCGAAAGCGCTGGAGACGCTGTAGTACATATGCCAGGCCTGTAAGTGGCGCTGTAGTCTGCCACAAAAGCAGCGAAGAAGACTTCCCGCCCATAGTTACCATGGTTACCCTTCTGTTTATTCTCCGCTGTGGCTTTTTTTCTCCCTCCCCGAGGCAAGCGTTTGCTCCCGCTGCTTTAATTCAATGCAATCCCTCCCCGTTGAGGCAAGCACTGTAATTCTCTCCGGTTAGTCCACCAGCAGATGACAAACACCCACCTCTCCGCCTCTTCCAAGGAACGAGGGGACCGTGCGGCAGAGTTTCAGTTTCTTTCGCCGGTCAAGATGTCCGTTAAAGTTTAAATCAAAATTTGAAAAGTGCCGGTCAAAGGTCTTCTTTGTTATTTATTGAGCTTTAAAACAAATGAATAACGACTCTATATAATAAAACACGGAGGACGGAGATCTATTTTTCTCCCCCTCTTCTGACAGCCCAGCAGCTGATCAGAGCACGTCTCCCCTCTCCTGCAGGGGGGCGTGGTCAGCAGAATCAGACCCGTAGACAGCAAACAGCACATAGAGCGAAATGAGGCATGGCTAAAATGCATGATCTGTTTGGTATTTTGAAAACAGAAACGTATAAATATACCTTATATAGGTATGGCCCTACAATATATCATTTAAATATAGCATGATAGGTCCACTTTAAATAATAACTTAAAATCAATGTTTTCAGGAGACTAAAGAATGCTAGTGAGGTTATATTTAAGGTTATATGTCAGACTCTTCAAAAGTCATAGATAGTGGGGGGTGAGGGCGTTTAGTGGGGACAGCCAAGGTGAGGTGGCATGCAAAAATAGAACAGCCATTTTTTCTTTCATCTTCTAGCTTCAAAGCTGAGAATCTTGCATGGTTTATTAAAGCGGGGACCCATTTCTTAGGCATTTGTATCTATCTTCAGACACCTTGAGATACAAATGGCACTCTGCATGTTAGTGTGTTTTGTGGGGGATAGTATAGGTTGTATCAAAGAAGACATTCGTAAATGGGATTGAAGCTTTGTTTAGGAATGAAAACAAGGCAGGGAGAGAAAATATGTGCAAGCTGAAAAGCTGAAATTGACAAGTGAGTCGTTGAAATGAAAATGTAATAGAACAAAGAAAGAAAAGTGTGAACAAAGAGACAGTAAGATCTTCTATTACCCTGCTGATGTTGTGAAGATGGGCTATAATTGGATGACAGTTGACAAGAGGAAGGAGCCACGAGAGTGTTGGATAGATGTATAAAAGACAGGTTAAGCGAGATTACTTGGAAAGAAGGAAATCTGGTGTTGACATTGTGATGCACATCATTTTGTTGATCCTGAAAGGGTCATAACAAACATACTGATGTGAATGTTGGCTGTCTTCATTAATGATCTAACAGAGACTGTGTTTGCTCTCCAGAGGAAGGAGCTGGGGGTGTTGGTGTACGACTGCAGCTGTCTGGCTCTGGACCTCCACCGAGTGTTCAGCCTCTACTGGGGGCTCCAGTACAGAGACTTCGTCCCCTCCTTCTGGTCCAAGCGCCTCTTTGCCCTTTTCAACAGGGACGAACCGCTGGAGCTCACTCTGAACAGTACAAAGGCTCAGGCCTACGTCTCGGTAAGCGACTGATTTAAATGTAGTTTTTAGATCGGATAACTCTCAGCCACTCTCATCGAGATTTAGTGTTTGATTTAGTTTCATCCAGGATTGAAATGAGAAAATACATATGTGTTTTAATATGTTGTTATTTATACTCTGATAAAAACGTTTGCACAAGGTTTCACCTAAAAAATTCATTTTACATTTTTGAATAAACCAAAAGTTCTGTGGGTGAAAAAGTTGGATGTTGGAAGCAGCCATCGTTAACGAAATGTGTTTCACCTGTGTGTTTCCTGTTAATACAAGTTAGATGTTTGCTGTGAATTGCTGTGTATTTCGGCATTGGTTAGGATACTAATAGTATAGTGCTGTCTATGTAGTCATTAGGAAGAGACACAAAACACACCTGTGTAAACACCCACTCAGGTGTTTTGAGTCACTGATTGATTAGACCTCAGATAAGGTTGCCAGAATGGAAATTAGGCAATGTGATGTCAACATTATGAATGATAAAGGTATATTAATTCAGACATCAAATGGACATGGGTAATATTGTTCACTGATGTCCTTTGCCTTCAAGTACTTAAAATGTAACTTTTTGCTTCATTCCCAGAAGTAATGGGGTTGAAAAAACGCGTTGCATTCACACTCGAAAACACATATTATGGCATTCTTGCTCTAACTTTAAGTACAGCACACTCAAGTATTCCCATCTCCAGTCGAAGTGACAGTTAGTTCAATGTTTCATGCTGAGTGTCTCTGCAGGACGCTGTGTCTTTCAGTGTCATCCGATTTCTGGAGATGATTGATGGGGATGTCATCCTACCTGCAGCAAATGTGGCTGAGCTGTCCGTCCCTAAAGATTCATATCAACACAAAAAAAGCGCACACCAAGTACACACTTAAACATGTAGAAGTGTCTGTCAGCAAGAATGTAAACTGAAACTTCAAGACATGAGCACTGACAAACACCAACACACATACATAAAACAAAGAAAGACAATCAAATGTGTGTAATTCTGGTAAACGATAAAGATGGCATTGGTTATTTTAATGAAAACAGTTCTGAAAACGAATCATTCTGCATATTATTAAGATTTCCCTCTGAGTCACTGTGGTAATAAACATCTATTTACCAATATTTTTTAGCAGATAGTCACTGATTGTGCATCCTCTGATCATGCAATGCTAACACTACCTACTTGTCTTTGCATGACTTCTTCTCTGGCGACAGAGCTCCCCAGATTTTTTCAAGCCCAAAGATCGTAGCAGTGATCTGGAAGCCATTTCAAGGGTCATCCAGGAGGCTCGCCAATTCATATATATCTCCATCATAGATTACCTGCCCCTCTTGAGCCGCAACACTCAAAGGTAAGAACCACTTTTTAATTTCTTTGGATGGGCTCTTATCATTAAAAAATGTTATGCTTTGCTTTGGTTCAAGTGATTTAAACTCTTTGTTTGTTCCTGTGCCAAGTTACTGGTCTCGTATCGACGCTCTTATCCGGGAGGCTCTGATCCTGAGGAAGGTCCAGGTTCGTCTGCTGATAAGTTGCTGGGAAAAGACTCAACCACTTAGCTTTAACTTCCTCTGGTCCTTGAGGAGTCTGTGCATGGACCAGGCCAACTGCTCAATGGAAGTTGTAAGTACAAGCCAACATCGTATTTTCAACTCTACAGATATGCTTTATCGATGCTAACTGCACAACTGTCCATGTGTATCTGTGTGTGTAGAAGTTCTTCAACCCCAGAGTGCAGAGGGATGGCAGTCTCCAGGGAATAAACCACAACAGGTTTATGGTGACAGATAGAGCCATTTATTTAGGTGAGCTCATCGACGACTCAACTTTATGACATGCTTCTGCTCACCTCAAGCACACAGCAAATTGTTGTTTTTTCAGCTTATTGAGGTTATGCATTGATCTCGAGTGGTTAGGATAGCCCATCTGTCAGGGCAAAGGACCTGAACAAACCGAGGTTGTCTGTATCTTGCAAAATATAGACGCCTCAATAATCTAGTGCTTGAATGTTTAGCATGGTGGACCTTGCAAAGAAAAAAACGAGATTCATCATATTGCCCCATTCCAGCTTTGTATAAACTAAGCTAATCACCTCCTGGCTCCTGCTCTGTACTTAACACACACACATGAAAGAGAGGTTCACTTTCACATAATCTCAACCGTCTAACTCAAAAAGAAAGAAAAGTATTTCACTAAAAGGCCAATGATGACTATAAAAGTCTATCTTCAATGGTAGTATATTTTCATTTATCCAATGGTACTACATGACAATGTTTAAAAAACCTAATTCAGGTCATCTTGGTATGTTATTTTTGCCTTATTTGTTGTGCTACAAGGTGTTTTTGATACTGCGGCAACTAATATGTTTCTTGCTTGGTGTCCTGACAGGTAACCTTGACTGGTTGGGGAATGAGTTTACCTTTAACACTGGAGTAGGCCTGGTGATCAGTCAGCCAGAGGGCATCGAGGAGAGGAACTCTACAGTGGTGGAGCAGCTACGGGCTGCATTCGAGAGGGACTGGTTTTCACGTTATACCCACTCACTGCAGGCCAACAAGATGAACGTCTGCAGCACACAGCAGATCAACAGGCTCGTGCCGGACAAACTTGGCCACCTGGACAATGCACCAATGCCTATCAGCGTAGACCCGCATGATAACGGACCTGCACCAATTAGACACAAACACCAAGATGATGGACAGGCCCATGTTAAAACAAAGCACCATGACGACAGACTTAGCAAAATTGCTCTGCAAGGCAAGGCCGATGGGCTGGAGCCAATTATAGACAGTTACCAAGAGAGGGGACAAGTCAAAATGAGCCATGACCTTGACAGCAGACAGGTTCAAATCAAAGGTAATCACCAAGACAATCCAATGGATCCGCCCAGTCAGTCAGCTGAGAGCAGCGGCAGCAGAGAGATCTTAAACGGGTCGCTGTGACCGAGGAGCTTAATGAGAACTACTCTCTTCCAGGTACAATGGACTGGATCTTTGTAGCAATTTGTTGTTGCCATTTTGAAAAACGTTGAAGATATTTAAGTGATATTTGGTTTGAAGGACTTGATCATGTTCATGAAAGAACTCAGGAAGGAAAGTATATGCTCTGATGCAGTCTGGCACTTTTGACAGATTTTTTAAGAATGAAACCAAAACATTTTGGTGGAGAAGAAACACTGGATAATACAGATATATAAACGTACAACTTTGCTACTTATTTAATCTTTCTCCTCTCCTTGTTGAGATCTCTCAAGCCAAGGAAACAGATTAAATATTTTTGATTGCCTAATTATTATATGCCACTTTAGATGTTTGTGGCAGTCATTATTTATCACCCTTTAAAAGGGGAAATTACGCCTGCATGAATATGCAGAGATTGGAAGCAGTGTAGCTACAATAGCTGCATTTAGCATTTAGGAACACTCTAAAGTCATGGAAGATTTACGACACAACTTCACATGTTTTGTATCTATTATCGCCTCTTAATTCTGTTTGTGTAGCTCCAGCAGTATTCTGAATAAGTTGCTGTGCATTTAAATTGTTACTTCTAAAACTGATAACCTATTTATAAGTTATTCGAACAAAGCAACCTGAGACCATCTGTTCAGTAATGGGTTCAGATGTTCTAATGTCAAATGATATTAATAGAAAACAACCCTGTGTGTATATATTAACACAGATCCCAGTCATATTTTATATTTAATTTGTCGCACCAACTTTCTGATTTTAATTCCATTATTCCTGGAATTTAACCCATAACTCATTTTGAGTTCTGACCCAGAGTTGAGAGGCTGGGGCTCTAAAGGAATTGATCACATCAGGACCACCATGATTTATCCTCAATACCAGAAGCACTAAAACACTGTACAGACAGCTGGTTTAACCCAAGACTTGAGACACCGTATATCTCTGAATAGCCGGTTGGTGTACAATAAAAATGTTTTATTTTAAGGGCGGTAATATTGAATTGGATGATGCACATATTCTACTCCACAACACCAAATATACTAAGGTGTGTATTTTCAATCAGACGCTGCCAGTGAAAAACGACAGCCTTCATTGGTTTTTGTGAAAGGCAGATGTTGTCCCCAGGAGGAAGAGGAGCTATAGATCTGAATGGCTTCTTATAATCATTTAAGTTACCAAATATAAATCCTAGGAAGAGAAGATAGATCGAATGGGTACCTATAGTATTCTGCCGAATGCAATGTGATTTATTGAACAAATACTAAAGAAGCAGGTAGAAGAAGGGCCAGAGGGTCTCTGCTGTCCAATCAATACAATGCATTTTGAACAGAGCCTGACAGTTGCAGTTGCTGCAATTTAATTTCAAGGACACTGTTACTTGTCTCCTCTGACTGATGTATTATTACCTTTACCGTGGGGTAAAGGAAAAACTTCATGAAAGAACACTTTTCAATGAAAGCTGGTATCAGCTTTTATTTGCATTTTTTAAATGTCTAATACCTTTACACACTCTTTGTGGGACTTTTTGCAACAATGCTTTAGATTTTATGTTGCTAGAATTTCTTTTTACTTCCAAAGCCAATAATAAAGGAAACATTTCCAGAAAGATAGTGATGTTTGATGAGAAATATGCTGAACCTGATGCTCAGAGCTTTAACGTGAAAGCATGAGGTGAAATGAGTGTGTCTTTTGAAATAACTTATAGCAGGAATAACTGTTGTATACTTTTAAGGAAACATGTTAATTTCCAGGTTCACATTATATTTTCAGTTCCTAAATGAGCCACATCTGAATAGCTTGTTGAATCCCATGTTTTTAAGCTTGTAATTACACCAGATACCCAAATGTATGTGCACAAGAACTGCACAAGTGAGGCTTTTATGTTATGTCCCCTTTAATTCCGCCACAACACTTTTACAACAGAATGCATAAAAGGTTTGGCTGTAAGAATTATATATTGCACCATTATTGTTGGATATCAGAAAACACACCAATTGACTATTTAAATCCGGTCATGATGGATAACTTCTGCCATCTAGAGGCTGTCTTGAGAAAAAAACATTTCTTACTTTCTTAACCAATGTATTTTTAACCACTGCTGTCTATATGCCACTTCTTATGAAGCGTATAAACGGCAGCAGAGGTTTTTCCTGCTAATTTTTGAACAATAATGATGTTGATACATTACATGATACTTGTTAGACGCTTTTATCCAAAGCGACTTACATACTCACTACTGTGGACAATCCCCACAGGAGCAATTTGGGGTGAAGTGTCTTGCCCAGGGACACAACGACATGCTGACTGCAGTGGGGTTTGAACCTGTGCTCCCCTGATCCGAACACCTACGTACAATGCACTGCGCCACACGCCTGATAGCTACCATTTATTGGTTTGAGATTATCAGAAGATCTTTTTTTAAAACACACATATTGTAGGTTGCAAGTAAATGTATTGTTAATGTAGCCTGATCAGAAATCATTTAATGAACGCAATAGGTACATGTTAAACGATAACATGCATAAAACAAAACACAACTTCCCATGCTTCTGTGTTTGCACGTTTTCTCTTTCTGTATTCATTTCATGACTCTTATATGAACCAAGCACTATCATCTGTTTCATTTGTAGAACAGCTTCTCCATATAGAGTGAGTAGAGCTTAATGAGTATTATCTCAATAACAACATATTGTCTTGCAAAGCATTACATCAACACGCTGTGCTGCTTGACAGCTGGTCTGGAGTCAGATTCAGTTTACGCTGCTATTATAGTATTGTTGTACAGGGGGCAGGAATGCTGCTAATCACCCTGTACACCCGCTTTTAGTTTACATTTTATGTTCAAACTATTTTGATAATTAAAACAGTGAATATTTTCCAGTTAGCAAGGAACACAACTCAACCTTTAATCAGCAACTGTTTACAATCTGCTACTGCTACACAAATAATAGGAAGGTTTCCATAACACACTTTTAAAAAACTGAGCAATATTTGCTGAATACTTTGTGAAATATACAGGATAGATGGATGAATATTCTGGATGGGTTTTAAGGTAGCTGCCAAGTGTTACAGACTGACATACTAACTGTCTGAGCCCATTTAAATGTTCACTGTTAAAGCTTTGTCGCCTACCTTTATTCTATTGACTTGTTTCGGCATGACTGCTGCTTGCATGCCCTGCCTTTATGAACTGTGCACAGAAGCTATGAGTCTTTTAAGAGATAATAATGATCATAATGAAAGCATATATACCTTTAAAAAAACAAAACAACAGAAGGAATGTATATTTATTAAACACTCTTGATAATGCAAACTACTGAATTATATGATCGCTATGTTTTTACTCTTAATAAAAAATATATATACTCTAATCTTTGTATGTGTGGGTGTGTTTGTGCTTAGTGTAAGTGATTTGTGTTTGCTTAACACAAAGGCTGTTAATTAAAGCAGGATGGCTTACCTCAGAAGTTAATCCTTACCGCACTGTGGCTGTCAGTCAGGCCCTGTGTAACCCTAATGGGCCGTTCCCTTAACCCACATGTGTCAAACTCAAGGCCCGGGGGCCTAATCAGGCCCTTGGTGGATTTAATTTTGGCCCGCAGGATAATTTTTAATTACCATTAGATCTGGCCCGCCGGTATATTGCACGTACACCTTCACTCAATCCTGAGGATTTCCTCAGCTCAGAGCCTGACCCCAAACATTGATGAGCTTGCACCCAAGATGAGATGCCAAGTATCTGGCTTGAACTAGCATCACAGAGCAGCAAACTGAGTTTCAATGGATGTTTCCTTTTTGCACTTTTCTTCTTGAGACAACAGGACATGTTTGTTTTTTTCTTTGAGGGAAATTGTTTTTTGAAGCTGTTGTTGGCCTGTGGAAAAATGTAATCAATCTAATCATCTCACAGAGAGAGCCATAAGAAATGAATGCAACTGATTATTTAATGTTGTTTTTATAGGCAATCATTTAAGCTTTGTTAATTCCAGGTTTAATATGTGCAATAAGTTCATTTCAATAAGTTTTGCAATAAACATTGAACCAGTCCGGCCCTCGACTAGTACCCATTTTTTTATTTTGGCCCACTGTGTATTTCAGTTTGACACCCAACTCACTGAAAGGTAAAAGTGGCACAGACATTTTAAATGCTGTATTGCAATCCACAAATACAAATCAAGATGCAAACACAGCAAGGCAACATGTTGCTGAGATGTATCAAATGGTTATATGTTTTTGTAAAAATGTGATCTGTAACTCATCTTCAGTGCATCCAAATGACACCTGGTTTGTTTTGTTTTATGGAAAAAAGTCAATGTTCAACCATTTCAGACATACAAGTTTAACATAGTGAATTTAAATAACATAAAATATATATTTTTTAAACACGATGATAATTGAAACAATTTATAACATAATACCTGGATAAATAAACTCCATAAACATAAACTTATAGGAAAAATGCATTATTCTTTTAATATTTTCATAATATTTCTTCATAGTATAACGATATTGTTCATTTTTTTGTAAATATAAGTGCAGAGGTGGAAGAAGTACTGAGATCGTGTACTTAAAGTCAATTCTTAGTACTCATTATGCAGATTGGCCTTTTCCAGAACAATATATATGATATGTTTTCATTATAATTTCTTGTTGCATTTCAGTGGTATCAGAGCTTGTAAAGGTGCAGTTAAATTACATTACTTTGTTGACTTCAGGGTAGATTTTGAATGTTGCAGGCGTAACTAAAGTGTTGACTATATTTTACATTATTAATCAAAATCTGCAAAGTAAGAAAAGGTGGAGTGGAGTAAAAGTACACCATTGACCTATTGTAGTAGGGTAGAAGTGTATAATATTAAAACATTGAAATCATAATTAATAATAATTAGTTAAGTACAAATCCCTTAAAATTGTACTTGAGTAAATGTTTCAAATATTTGTATTGAGAAGAAGCATACAGGTGTAAGCAATAGCACAGACTTGTTTGGGTTGGCAATCATGCTTCCCTTCTTCAACATAGAAGACAAACAGAACAGCCAACAAGAAAAAAACATAACATGACAGGAATACCATACTTAATGACATACAAAGTCATAGTGGGAAAGAACATGCAAAATAGTAGCCTGCCCTATATATAATACAAATAAATAAATAAACTTAAAGGGTGTACTTGAGTAAATGTACTTAGTTACTCTAGTCTTTTTTAATGTTTAATGTGTCACACACTCATACCTGTCTGGGTTTGAGCACCAACGGATTGACGTAACAGTTACCTTAGCAACCGATTAAGCGTCACCAGTCCGGGCTTCAAATTCATGAGTGCGCTTTTCTTCCCGGAGACCGTCCCGTCGAGAGAGACAGGGCTAAACCGCCTCTGCTACGCTCAGAAGAGACTCCTTCATGAAGAACAACACACCAGATGTCTTTTCCCATCATTTCGGGTTGTGTTTCTTCGTGCTGTAGCGGAGCGGGACCCGCAGGACTGACGAACATCGCCGGGCTGGTGTTGTTGTTTTTACCGAGCAGCAGCCACCATGGCTGAGGAAGACAGTGAGTGGATTGTGGAGAGCATCGTTGGCTACCTGGGGAGTCCCGAGTGGGTCATTCCTGTCTCGGACTTCATGGAAAACAAATGTACAGGTAAGGTATTTAAAAAAAACAGCAATTTGAAGACTTCTGGCTACCTCTTTGGAGATGTGTGGAGCGTTAGCGCGGTGGCTAAGCTAAGGCTAACAATGTTTTGTTGACATTTTGTCAGGCTATGATACTTTGTACCGTTCACTAACTTTACACTTTTGTTAATAAACGTTTTTTGTGCAAGTTAATCAGACTGTAATAGCATAAAGTCAATATGAAGTCACAAAGGACACAATTAGAGAATCATAACAGAAAAAGTATTTAACTAGCAAGCAAAGTAGAAACCTCAGCTATCAAAAAGGTCATATATACTGAGGTGGGAGAAGTACTCAGATCTTCTACTTAAGTAAAAGTAGAAGTAACAAAGTGTAGGAATACTAACAAGTAAAAGTCCTGAAATTGAAATGTTACTCAAGTAAGAGCACAAAAGTATTGGCCTTTAAAATATACTTAAAGTATCAAAAGTAAAAGTACTAATTTTGCAGATCCATTTCAGAACAATATATATCATATGTTTTGATTATAATGATCAATTAATTAATATTTATTAAAGCTGGTAAAGGTGCAGCTAATTTAAATGAATGAAAATTGTACTTAAGAACTTGAGTACATCTACTTAGTTACTTTACAAGTATTCTCTGGACAGAATATTGATGTTGAATTGATATCATTTGTGTTTTTAATTTGGCCTTTTCTTAGTGTTTGATGATGAAGATGAGAATAAGTTATCATACACAGACATCCACCTGCAGTATAAGAAATTGGTGAGTACAGTCCTTGGCCCAGTTGTGTCAAATTGCATTTGCCTCATCAAAATCAACTCATTCGTGGTTTTCTCTTGCTGACTCATTAAACTGGACTTATGTAAGCTGCTTTGTTTTGTAGGTGGAGACTCTGCTGGGGAATTACATGCAGGAGGTTGGCATCAACGAGCAGCAGTTTCTGGACGCATGCACCTCTCCTTTTGCCAAGACCAAAACCCTGCAGGTACTTTAAGCTCCCTGTTGGCACCCAGTCTGTGGTGGCACACCCCGTCAGCCTGCCAGTGAACCTGATGGGAGGGAATGGGACCACGGGTGTCCTGCTTATACCTGAAGCCATATATAATACTGAGAATGTATTTTACTTGTACCCCTAGGAAGAAAGTGGGATCATTGTTATTTTTGTATGATTCACTCACACACACACACACACACACACACACACACACACACACACACACACACACACACACAACACACACACACACACACACACACACACACACACACACACACACACACACACACACACACACACACACACACACACACACACACACACACACAACACACACACACACACACACACACAACACACAACACACACACACACACACACACACACACACACATCTAATGTTGCTGCAACAAAGTGTCCGAAAATACTTTTTAACTCTAACGAAAACCTTACATGACATGTTCATGATGATGCTCTTTTAATATTTACATTATATTTTATTCAAATTTTGCAGCACCATGTGGCCTGTCAACTATATCTATATATTCAGTACTCCTTATGGCAGACTATCGACAACTGTTTGGGCGAAATTGACCTTGGCCTACTTTAATTTGAAGGTGTTATTATAACGGAAGATACTTTTATCTATAGCCAAAATGAGCTCCTGCTAGGTTTACATAGTTTTATGATGGTATAAGTTTTTTCGAGGATTCATGCACACCACTGCAACCCTTTTGTTTAGTCAGTTGGAAAAACAACAGCTCCTCAGTTATTCATGTAAGGTTTGTTGTTAATTAACTTACAGTTTTGCAAAGTTGTAACTGTTCACCCAAAACAGGTTAAGCTAAATTGCCAACTAACATGATGTTTTAAAATGTGTTTTTGCACTTAAATAGCCATGTTAATATTGTACTTATATTAGTTTCAGATTGGCGGAGATCGGTACTTATCATTATCCTCAGTAAAACTGGATATCATTCATTTCCACTAAATTATTACAAACCAGGTAAGAGTCTCCCAAAACAGAGATTAACTTTACCAGAAGTTATACATTGAGCAGTCTCATGCAGTCATACCAACAGTAGTAAGTAGAAACAGCTTATACTGTAGGTTTGGGATTCAGAACGTGGAGACCTGTTAACTAGCAACTCTGAACTTGTATTTAATCTTGTTTGGAAACATTTGCCTAGCATTAGCCTACATGGTGGACAGACCCTTGAATAAAGACAGGAAGCTTGTGTGATAGATTAGGCCTAAGTAGTATTCTGTTTGCAAACATAGCTTGCTTAGTCAAAAGTCTCCCATGCTGAAAGAACTGAACATCCTGTACTGATCCACAGGGGTTAACAGGCAATGATGATCTCATAGGAACATTGACAATTCATGATTTAGTTTTTTATAGTACAGGATTCATTTATATAATGCAGAGATACGCCTATCGGTGGAAAAAATCAAGCACATTTGGTCCCAGCACTGTTGCTAAAAAATAAACCACAATGGAGAATGTGTTTTATGTATAGCCAGTCAGCAATAGCATTTTCAAATCTGTCAATATCTCGATGTATTTGCTGTAACGTTTTTTTTTACCTCTCTTGACCAGAGAGTAGCTATGCAAGAGGAGGTTAGCCTTCATGATACTTTTTACACCAGCTAGCTAGTGGTTATGCCATTTATACTTTGTTGTCTTTTTGCGACAGTTATTTCTCATGGTCTTCTATGTGTATTGTATTTGTTGTACAGTCGGTGTTCCAGCCAGTTCTGGCTACAGATGACTTCCAGATGTTTCGCTCACTGATGGTCCAGAAGAACACGGAGCTGCAGCTTCAAGCCCTCAGTGTCATCAAAGAAATGAACGGTAGGCTGGATTAACACACACTCCCAGACAGGAAATCACTCCTGATGAAGCCCCCCCTAACATGCCTGCTGTGTGTAGGGGCCCTCCCAGAGTGTCTGACCGACGGAGTGGACGTGATGACGGAGCTGCAGGATCAGGAGATGAAAATCCTGCAGGAGGTTCTCAAGTAAGTCACATATTATTTTTTTCTTCTACTCTCTGTCTCACTCTTGTTATCTTCTTCCTCTCCCTCTACCCCCTTTAGTATTATCATATTTTAAGTTCTTGCAGTGGCTAAGAGTTTCATTTCAGGAAAACACAAAAAACTGTAAATCTAGAAACTAGGATTTGAATGTATTAAATATCCTGACCTCAATGATGGACAAAGTTAGCATGCATGAACGATAGATTCAAAGGTAGAATCAAACTTTTATTATTATCCTTATTATAATATGTAAAAGTATGTTTTTAAATGAGTGTTATGTGTGAATGAGCTCTTCATATCTACATATAGAGTAGATGTGGGAGTCTGCCATGTTGGACCTTTAAGTTTCTTCAATCAACCTAGTACAGGCTTTTGGCAGGGCTTTTCATGTTTTTAAATTACCTGAAAGCCACCTCTTTTTCTGAAAAACAAATCCTACATACTGTCCCTTTTTATTTCTGAAATAAAGCACAAAAATCATTCTTATGTAAAAAGTGTAATGAAATGTAGTTTCTCTTTATGTATTAAGGCTGAAATGCCACAATAAATGCATTCTGAAAAACCTCTCACAGTAAGTATACTTAGATATATACTTATCTAATCAATTTTGTACTTTTTCATTATTTAATTAGGTGTGAGTTTTTCCTTATTATGCTGTTCTAATATTTCCACATTTTCCTTATGCCTCCACTGTCCGTGTGCCGGGTGTCAGAAGCCGCTGCCCTGCTCTCTAATGGGATTTTGCTCGTGGCCGCGGGGCCAAGTAGAACACTGACTTAATGGGACCGCAGTTAAGCTCCTTAGGGTGCAGCTAAATTAGGGTGGAGAGATTAACACTAAACAACCAACTGAGATTATTAGTATTTTTATCCTCATTGTTTTACGAGGATACCTTGGCTGCTGATCAGAGCTGCATCATTCTGCATTCCCCCCGTTGATTTTAGTTTGAATTTAAAATAAAGTGGGAGGCCCTTTGGGAAACTCCAAGATACTAAATGTTTAATGTCACCGTTTTGGCCCTTTGTGTGAAAACGTAATGCACTGGAAGAATATTCTAATATAACAATCAGCCTACCAAACAATTTAAGACAAATGATGCAATATACTGCATTTACACATATAGCTAGTTAAGTAATTGTGTGCACCTGTAAAAATACATCAAACCACTATAATGCATGATTATGCTTTTACTTGTAATTTAATTTAGCTATCAGTGTCATAAAGCTTTTCTTGTGAATATCAACTAATAGACCGTCCTTTCCTTCTTTTACATCTCTTTCTATATGCAAACACGCTGGATAATGCTTTGAGAAAATCTCCTCTAAGGCAAATGAAGTTGTTAAATTAATCAAATTAAAGGATCAGTGTGGTGCCCTGGTAAGGCCAGGGCAAAGTGTCTTTTTCTAGTTCATTTGTGCAATTAGCCAAGGATTACATGTATAATAGATCTTTAACTTTATATAAACTAATCTCTTATCACACCTGGGCTACTAATCACACTTGGTTTAAGTAGGCTAGGCCAAATGCTCCACCTCTCCATCTTAAGGAGAGTGAAACATCATATGTGCATGAGCCATCAGATTTGGATCTGCTCCAAAAATGTAATCGATGTATCCTTGGCCCATGGACCTGTAGTTCTTCAGTTATCCTGCTGACAAACAAACTTAACCGAAAACATAATTGGTGTAGGGAATAATTATTTCTGCACAAGACAATTTATGCATAGCAAAAGTTCAGACAATGTGCCCTGCATCAATTCTAAAATGTGTATTTATCTTCTGCTACTTTGTCCTCAGGAAGTCAAAAGATGAGTATGATAAGGAAATGTCCAGGAGGCTGCTTTTAGAGCACAAGGTTGGCAGCAGCTCTGATAAGCGATTGGCAGAAAGCAGCGAAGCCCAAAATACCTCCTCTGCCGCCAGCCAACCGAGCGGCGCTGCCAAGGTGAGACACCATGAGCTGTACGAGCCAAATGAGACGTGCAAACTTACACCAAACCACTTCTTAACTTTTTTTTCCTATCAATTCAGACTTTTACCGTTCAAAAACTGATGCTACCAATGATAAATAGTTATTTCCAACATCCCTTTCCCGTTACAGTCCACTCGATTCTTTATAATAATGTCTCCAATGTGTCATTATTCCATGCTAAGGCCAAAGCGGAGGGGAGAGGTGACAGCAGCCAGAGTAACGGTCACCATGCCCCCCCACTAGTGAACGGAAACACAGTCCCTGAGGCTAATCTGGTAATTGAACCCCAAGTAGAAGTATAGTAGCATTTCAGTTAGTGACCTAATAATCAACAGTAGTTTACTGCTCTATCTGAGGATGCATTGATACCTTTTTGACTGTATCTGTATCAGCTAACTGTATAAAAAGGGCAGGTTAATAAAAACTCAACTTGTGTAAATAAGGTTCTGCATGCTCTTAACAGTAAAGCATCAGTGATTGATCCTGAAATTCTAATTAACTGTACGGTACAAAAGTATGAGCAGGAAATTGGGCTTTCATAGCCTGCGTCAGTAGGTAGATCATAAAGAAGCTTTGTAGTTTTAGACTTAAGTTGCTTTTATCAATAGATTAAAACCATTTGCTGACTGCAGGGTGAATGGGACGTAGTTCTTTAGATTCATCTTTGTAGATCAGCCCTGTGCACAGCATGATAATCGTCAGCTTCACTCCTGTGATATCTGTGAAATGGTTCATCTGTAGTTGCAATACTGGGCTGAATCTGATGCAATGTCTGGGTCATCTGTCCAACATGTATTATTGTCTCTGATCCTTCCCTCCAGCTCAACAGCAGACCTGTCACAACCGATGAGAGAAAGACGTCAGCTCGAGGAGGTGGAGAGAAGAAAAGTGCAGCCAAGAGCAGCTCCACTTCTAAACCCTCCGCAGGTAACTCAGAAGAAGATATATCAAAAGTATAGTTTGAAAAGGCCAATTCCCCCTCTGAAGGAGTACTGTGTGTACAGAAGAATGGTGTTCTATTGTTTATCTGGTAAATAAACCACATGTTTGTGTCTGCTGCACACTGATTGAATATGTGTGTGCAGATTGCGGCAGTAACGGTGTGGAGTCCAGAGTCCTTCCTGCAGTGAGACCTCCAGTGAAGTCTGGTGAGCCCCCCCTCAGTGCAGGGTCCAGGGAGCAGAGCAGCAGCCTGACCCCCCCCGAGGGCTGGCTGGAGGAGGCTCACAGGGAGGCCGGCTTCTCCAAGCCATACACCGTGAGTCTGTCCTTCTTCCCCTTGCTTCCTTTAGCACAGCTCTGTGGGTTATATACAATATGAGAATAACATAGATGTGTACACCTTACAGAATCAGAATACCTTTATTAGTCCCACAGAGGGACTGTGAAATGAAGTTATAAATTACTGACACAATTAAATTCTGTGTTACGAAGCCTTTCTTTTAGACAAAGTCACAATATAAAGACAGGGTGTCCGCGGGGTCTTAAAAAGTATTAAAAGTTGATAAATCAATTTAGCGAAAATGAAGTCTTAAAAAGTATTAAACTGCATTTCCCAAGGTATTACATTTTGTAGCTTGTTTTCAATAAGTATATCAATTGTCCAAAGAGGTTGTATTCTACAGTCTGCCTGAATGTAATCATTGCGTAGATGTGCAGTGTGATTCTGTGTAGTTTATTTATGGCGTCCCGTTGGATTTGACGTCATCTGAACAGGACATCGCGCTCACTGCTTGATAGCGCGCGAAGGCCCGTTTACGCCGGTTGTTAAGCAACATCGTTATGGGGAAATGCAAGTTTGCGTCCAAATGGTTGGAAGATAAGGAGGAAGGACAATCAATACTGTATATAGTAAATGTGAGGTAAAGTGTGTCGCCAATGTAACCGGTTAAAACTCGAAGTGGCGATGAGGTCTTAAAATGTATGGAAAGGTTCTCTTTAAGACCCTTTCCATACATTTTTCTGTAGGTCTTAAAAGGTATTACATTTGACTTCAGGATTCCTGCATATACCCTGGTAAGGAATCTGCAGATTTTAACAGCTAAGATCACTTTGGTGCATAGCAAACACATTCATTACAACTCTCGTTTCTAGAACACACTATGTATGATGGCACAACAATACATTTTTCCTGTTTCTACTGGATTTCTTCCCAATTAATGCCCCAAAACACCTTTTTATTTTAAGCCCTCTTCTGGTTTTCCTCCCCCCCTCAGGAGTTGTCAGTGTCTCAGCAGGAGCAGCTCCAGCAGAGGGCAGCATATCTGCGACAGCAGAGAGACAAGCTGCACGCTCTGAAAAAAGAACAGCAGAAACCCAAACAGACCATCGTACCAGAGGAGGCTCCCGCTGTCGTTACCCCGGTAACTACAGCCTCTTACTGTCCCTCCTTGAACCTTAAAATGTAGCAGAATATGGCTAATGATGTGAGACCAATTAACTACTCACTATTTCCTAATATTATGGTAATGTTCTTCAGAAATCAAGTAAGGAAATGATCCATATCCATACTTTTCATTTTGGTCACATTTTTATCTTTGATTTCCCAATCTTTGTTATCTCCCATTGTAAAGCGTCCTTGGGTTTCTTGAAAGGCGCTATAGGAATCTAAATTATTATTATTATTATTATTATTATTATTATTATTATAAAAACGACATTCTCGATTTCACCTGATTTTCTTTAACCCACATTTTCCCTCCTGTTTTTTCCGTTAACCTTCTGTGTGACTTGTTTATTTGGGTTGTTGTTCTTACATTTCTCTCTGCCTGTGTCTGACCTGGCTGCTTGTCAGGAGGCAGTGGGGCAGTCCCAGAGTAACGGGGTCTGTACCCCCCTACCTCCTCCTGCTCCTCTTGCTCCAGCACAGCACTCTGCTCACTCCTCCAAACAGAAGGTGATCCGTTAGCTGCCCGATGTGAACACGTGTACTCGTACATGCGTAGTGTGGTGTTAGGCTCTCCCTTCTGTCTGTTGTACTGTCTCACACAAACGTACTGAAACTCCTCCATCACTCAAGCTCAGCAAAGGAACAGTCTGAGCTCTTTTACTCCTCAAAGTCATGAGAATAAGGTCTCATTAATATCGTGGATTGAGAATCGAACCCAATGAAAATCTATTTGTATGCTTAACGTTCGAAAGCTAGCATTTTCATTTACAAACATATCCTCTTCAGATGTTTACAGCTTCATACCTATTTTGTTATTTGATACTACTTTTAAAACCCGTAGTATAGTGATATTTACAATACCAGCTGACATGTTTGCCATGGATCGTTTGTGAAAGTTTGGGGTTCCAAGGTTGAAATCAAGGCCTTGAAAACTTGTGCGAAAACAGAAATTGAAATGTTCTCAAATTGCTAGTAAACAGGCTACGTTCCACTGTGTGCATTTATGTCTCCCGCTTTTGCATCATTGTTTCACGCACTAACTGCCCCTGAGAGTGCTACAATTAGAAAGCGTGAACCGTGTGTCAAACTGTTCCATGTTCGGTCCTTGAATTTTGAGTGAATTGTGCCTGGAAAGTTCTTGAAAGTCCCTTGAATTTGACGGTAAAGTAGATGTGGTAACCCTGAGCTGCTTGTGCTTAGTAGTTGTAGTTGTGGTCTTACGTGTGCTTGGTGGTTTTTCCCGCTGATTTTTCACTCCCTCAACATTTTCTCATAAGCAATCTTTAATCTTTTGTATCTGGTTTTTAACTCTAACGCCTGCTCCGCTGTCTTTACACAGGAGATATCTGCTGAGGAGAAGAAGAAACTCCAGAAGAGAAAACATCTGGCTGACAAACTGAAAGAGGAAGTCATCAAGAAATAACTTCCCCTCCAACTGCAATATTCTCATGTATAGCCTATCTGATCCAATCCTTTCTAAACAAGCTTCCTCTACTCTGCCTCCTTCAGCCCATTATTCACCTTGCATAACACAGATCAGGTTTTTACCCAAAGATACCAAAATAATCAGATCTTCCTTTTCAAAATTGTTCCATTGTTGTCTCCAGAGGAGGAAGGTACATGTTTTTATATTTTGTATGTGTCAGTCACTAATAAGAGCACACCCAAGTATTCTCTCACACACACACACACACACACACACACACACACACACACACACACACACACACACACACACACACACACACACACACACACACACACACACACACACACACACACACACACACACACACACACACACCTGGCCTGTGTCCAAAGCGCTGCTACTTTTGCCACTTGGTGAACTATTTTAATTGTAAAGCATTTTAGCATGTCGGTTTCCTAAATGCTAGAATTATGGATTTGTTCCATGCACTCATATAACCCACAGCTCAATATAACCCACAGCTCAAAATTTAACAATGCAGTAGGGCTGCTCAATTAATCGTATTTTAATCGCAATTACGATTTTGGCTTGCAACGATTATGAAAACATAATCGAAATAAAACGTTTTTTTTTTTTTTTTTTTAATTGGTTTTTCAGTTGAATTACACTTAAAGTTCTGGGTAATCAACTGTTAAAAACATACTGTTCACATTTTCTTTTTCAATAAATGGATGTTTTCAAAGTAAATGGATAATCGTTTTTAATAATCGTGATATCAATTATTGACCCAAATAATCGAGATTATGATTTTTGCCATAATCGAGCAGCCCTACAATGCAGTGCTTCTCTATTGATAGTGTAAATGTTTTTTTATGCAACGCTACACTGGTAGGTAATGCAAAATCAAGATTCATAACTCATTTATCTAGTACCGTTGACTGAAATAGTGGGTGATTTTGGACACATTCCTCAGTTGTTTCTCTGTAGTCAAGAAGTTCTTGAGAAAAGTTGAAACTCAACATGAGGCACAGCGGGCCTGGAGTTGTATCTCAGAATTGATGTTACGGGGAAATAAAACATTAGCCAGCCAACGTGCAGTCTTGTCGTTATCGGCTACATCAGAGCTGAAAACACTGTAGTGGCTCATCGTGTAGTCAGAGCAGTGCACGCTGTGGAAGTTGTCAAGATGAAGGGGCCAAGAGTGTGTCGCTTCCTATGAGGAATTCAGTATTTCATGTACACCGTTTAATAAATCACATTTTATAGAAACAAGCTTGAATCCAGACTGTGTGTATAAAAATGACTTTCAGTTGGTCGTTAGCTTTTCTCACATTAATCTTTTGCTGTACTCTCTTTTACTCTGAGCCATGTACATCTTCATGAGTACTAAATATTGTGCTTGAACAATTTTCCTCGTACAAAACACATAAATACTGTTGATTTCTTGCTGTAAGATTTTCATAAAATCCGCTAAATCATTTCAATAACCTAACATTTCTGAATAAAGTTATCAATTCAAACCATCTGGACCCAAAAGAAATGATTCAGAATCAATTACAAATACTAATTGCCAGATCAGTGAATTGATTCAAAAAGGTCAATGTCAGGGTCACATTTAATTTCAAAACTTATCAAATAAAGTCATACAAATGTTAAGAATGGATAGTGGTAGTAAATGCACTTGGTACAAATTCATCAAGGGGCAGCAAAACAGTCGTGTTGTTGGGAGACGCTGACAGACTGCTCGGGTTCTGCTGAACTCCTGAAAGCACATTGGCAATAATAATAATAATAATAATAATTTCACTTTGTGCTCCTACCCTGCTGCTCATAGCTCAGAAGTTCTAGGTCTGTGTGATCTGGTGGTTTTAGCTAATATCGATTACCTTCATCTGCTTCTCAGTGTGCTTGTGGTGAGACCAGGGGGAAATGTTTTCAACCCGACAATAAAATGTCCGAAATACTCCACTTAAACAACACCGTTCGACTCTAAAACTGCACATCAACCATTGGGTTAAAACATTTTCATCATAACTAATAAAAAAAAAAAACATCTCATCTGATCATAGTTTGAATTAAAGATATGTCCTTCGACTTGTTTTTGATGTGCAGTTGTTTTATGGTCAAACCTAAAATGAAAGCCCCTTGTAGCTCATGAGAATTCTTCATTCAGTTATAATTGCAAGATGTTTCACCAGCCAGCGGAGTCACAGTGCACAGAGCAGGGGAGCTTTTCTTTTTTGTCTGATGCAAATTAAATCTGAACCTGAGATCTGTCAGAGAGAAGGGTGCCAAGTTTTGAACCTCCTGATACAAGAGTGTGCACTAAATCTACTCTAAGCACACCGACAGCTCAGGTTTGTCACCAAATTAAAACAAAGGCTGGGCTTTGTGTGCATCTTAACGAGGCCACTAAATAGTTAGATTCACTAAAATACAAAACTCCAGACATCCTCAAATTGTTGGCTGCAAAATGACTTTACTGCAGTTTTAATACGTTTTTGTAAAACCAGCATTTTCAACTTCTCTGCATTTTACATTTAATCAAATGAACTGGACTTAAAAGGGTGAACAGTGACCCCACCTTTTGTGCAACAACAACAAAAATACACAGGTCGGCAGGTATCTCTCTCTCCCCCCTTGAAAATTAGATCAGGGAAAAATGATTAAAAAGAAAAAAATTCATCTGTACAGTACTTTTTAACAAATTCATGAAATACAGGATTTCTGGCAAACGCAGTCCTGTGTGTGAGACGTCGTCCTGTGTGTGAGACGTCGTCCTGTGTGTGAGACGTCGTCCTGTGTGTGAGACGTCGTCCTGTGTGTGAGACGTCGTCATGTGTGTGAGACGTCGTCATGTGTGTGAGACGTCGTCATGTGTGTGTTGTGTGTGTGTGTGTGTGTGTGTGTGTGCCTTGGCCGGACTGACGCCATGGCTTTTGTAGGTTTGAGTCTTGCTCCTGTGGATCTAAGCCTCATTACCACCGAGTTTTCACCCTGGTACATTTTGTCATTTGTGACCCCCCCCCCCCCCCCCCTCGTCTCTCAACACATCATTTTCCTTCTTTATAGACCATTTTTTTTCCCGACCGAATTGAAGAGTTCTGTGGCAGGGCGGCACTCACGGCTCAGCCAGTCAAGCTCTATCCGACGGCTCGTCCTGCTAGCCTGACTGGCTGCTGGACGCTTCATACACTGGCTTCCTCTGTCTCTGGAGCTCATTGCTTTTGGTGTTGGAGGATGGAAGGGGAGAGTTCAGATCGAGGACACGTGAGGGCTCCTGTGGGGGGGGGGGGGGGGGGTAGTACCGCAGCTTCCTTGCTACTGTTGCTATAGCAACAGAGCAGAGTTGGAAACCGCCTTGGCATCGATACGTCCACCGCAGGCTCTCTGGTCGGTACGTTTGGATGGAGGATGAGGAGGAGAAAGTTGTTCAGGAGGAGGTCAGAACAGGGGGAGCAGAAGAAGTGTGGGGGGGGGGGGGGGGGGGGGGGTGAGTTCAGAAAGGAGATTTGGGGATCTTCTACAGGAGTAAAAGGAAGAGGTAAAATCAACAGGCTGAAGAAACAGACTGATTTGTCTTTTTCTTTTCGAGAAAATAAGTTGTCCATCCCCTTCCACGAGGGACAGAAGAGGAGCAGAGATGAGGAAGGACAGGGTGAGGTGGGAGCTCGTCTTCGCCCGACTCCTCAGCGAGACGGACAGGTGGCACAGGCAGGCCAAGGACCAATGAGACGACCAGAGGAGGAGGAGGGGAGGGACTCGGTGTCCGTCCGCTACGACCAAACAGAGGAAAGTTAGCCTTAAGAGCTCAGGCGGGGCCGCTTTCTTGGAGACTGCTCTTCCTCCTCCTCCTCCTCTTCTTCCTCTTCATCCTCATCATCTGGGTAGTCCACCAAACCAACCATAGCAGTCTGTAACACAGAGAAACATCAGAAAGATTTACATAAATGCCCACATAGAAAGCATAACAAAAATATAAAAACAACGGTTTTCGGCAGTTGGCGTCTGTCATAATGATTCCTTCTCATGTGGACACAAGGAAAATAAATACTTCCGTTATTACCTTCACTACTGGTGTGGCAGGAAGAACAACGGTTTTGACGGAGGAAGCTGAACTGTTGTTTGGAGTGACGGCCTGTGAGGCGGGGGGGCTTACAGCAGCTTTCCCGTTATTGTTGGCACCATTAGCTCCGTTGGCAGCTCCTGCAGAAACAGAGTGTAAATATCTAACTGCAAAGGGCTGTGGCAATCAGGAAATGATACGGAGAAAGAGACCAGGGCAGATTACCTTTTTTGGCTTCCATGTACTTTCCGTAGCTGTCGGCGAAGTCTTCCTCCATCCGGCTCTTCTCCACAGCCTCGCTTTCATCATCATCATCGTCGTCGTTGAACAACAACTCCTCGTCCTCGTCCATCGACCGTGCATCTCTGCGATATCTACAGGGAAATAATAACGTCATTAAAAGGTAGGGTAGGTAAGAATGGAGAAACCAGCTTGAGTGCGCTAGAATTTGAAAGTACACAACCGGGAAAAAGAAAATCTGCCCCTTCCTTCAGACTTCCTTACAGAGCCCCTCCTCCAACACACACGGACGCGCACATGACCAATGAGGGCACGAGATAAGTCTGTGCACAGATGGAAGGCTGACAGGCAGGTAGGCCATCCAGCTATTTTAGCCGGGCCGGCTCAGATGATTGGTCGTGCTTTTTACAGTACTACGACTTCCACAGATGACATTTTTTTAATGTATTTATTGTCAAAGCATTTAATGTATTCATTGCTATCGGGATGTTAAGAGCATTCCATGGAATATAACAAGTGTTTCTGAAGTAAATTACCTACCCCACCTTTAAGCACAAATATCTACTTTCATGCAGGGGTAGCAGTGGGACCTGGGAATACTCATTACACAGTTATATTAGCATCTCTAAGTTAACGATAACTGAACAGATTTGACCTTTGTGTCCTATCTGTCTACTGACCTGTTGAGTCTCTGACTCTGTCGGTCTTTTTCCTGCTCGTATCGGCCCTTCAGGCCCTTGAAAGTCTGGACATACTCGATGGATTCAAGTGCTTTGTAGAAGTTATCCACAATGTGAGCGATGAGAGACTTAACATCCTCCTGGAAAAAGAAGACATTACAAGACCTCCACCATTAGTGCCTCAAGCGCACACACCCATCACTAATACACATTTTGATTAAGTTTAGTATGTGCCCACCACTTTAATGAACTCAAAGAGCTCTATGGTGGCGGAGTTGAGGAGGTTGTATCGGGTGCCGTTGTCCAGCAGGGCGTTAATGACGGGCTCAAACAGGTTCCCTTTGATGATATAGCGGTTGTAATACTCGTCCTTCAGGCCAATGATCCTGCGCATGAAACGAAGGGCACCTGGGACAAAAAACAGACAACTTAGTAAAAAATGAAGCATGAATGAGTCATTTGTAACTAAATATACAGAGTGGGATAGCAATTGACAGAACATTTAGCCATGGATGGACAAAGCAGCAGGAAGTTATGTGCGTGTGTGTGAACTTACAAAGAGCGAGGAAGGTGTGTTTTGAGTTCATTAGCACCAGCACTCTCCTGAGCAGGTCTTTGTTCATGATGTAGGTCTTTATGTGGTAGGTGTGGTGCTCCACACAGAAGGTCAGCAGCTCCAGGATCAGTGCCAGCAGCTGAGCCGTCTGGAAGTTGTCTACACAAAATAAAATAAATAAGCAGGGCAAATTGTCTTTTTGTATTACATTTTGTGTGGATTTCTAGATTATACATATTATAAGTAAGGCAAGGCAAGTTTATTTATATAGCACCTTTCAACACAAGGCAGTTCAAAGTGCTTTACAAAAATGAAAGACATTAAGAAACATATTATAAAATGATATAGAAAAACACTCATTTAAAAGAAAAGATAAAAAGCAAAGATAATAAAAGTTACAGTGCAGTTTAAGATATGAATATATCAATTAAAAGCAGCGACAAAAAGAAAAGTCTTCAGCCTGGATTTAAAAGTAGATCCGTTTAACCAAATAAAAACACTATTAATAATTATTTGCAGCTCTCAGACTGTTTACATGACGTAAGAAATAACAGCTTTTTAGTTTTCAGTTATTATGAAGAGGTCAATTATTAATTGTAATCTAGTGGGTACAGGTCAAAGAAATGCGATGGTATAGTTCCCAGTTAACTCTGACATGCTTTGTCTGTTGGGTGGTTCTCGGTTGAGTTAAATTCCTCACCTGGACAGACCGGGTTGATCTTAGTTGATCCCTCCTGCAGATCTGAAAAGGCAACGACACAGAACAACCAATCACATTCTCTGTTTATCTTACAGTCTGAAACATTTCAGTTTATGCGAGGCCTCTGTCCCCAGCTCACCTTTTGAGATTTTGTCATGTGCCGTGTTGGCCAGCAGAGGAGCGGTGAGGACGTGCATGCAGTACTTGTAGAAGAAACTCAGAAACTCTGTCTTCTCCGTTTTCTAAAAGGAAAATGAAGAAGCTTTAATAAAGTGCTGTGAATGTTTTACTGTTGAAGGAAGGCTATGTAATTCACCAGCTGGCTACATATGATATAGATAAGATCCCTGCAATGCATACAACATTTTATAGCCGTTCCATTGACATTCCTGCGTGCTGGTCCTGCTTACATTGGTGGAAGCGAGCATGTTCTCGGGGTCGATGAGCGTCCTGAGCAGACCCATGAGCTGGACAGCCCCCCCCAACTCTGGGTCGGAGTCACAAATCATCTGCTTGATCACCACATTTATCAGCAGGACATCCTGTACACCAAGGAAACACACAGAAAAATATAAAGTTAAGACATATTCTGATTTTAAGAGACATCTACTGAAAACGTTTACAATATGTCTTTGATTTTTAAGAAACTTTGTGGATTCCCTAAACTATTCAGGGTGAACAACTTTAAAGGTCTCCTATTATACTGTTTTTCATCAATATATTATAGGTCTCAGATATATACAAAACATGTCTCTGATTGGCTGAAATACCAAACAGATCATTGCAGCATCCCATAATCCCCTCTGTTTCAGCCCTGTTTCAAAAGTGCTGATTCTCTGTCTGTTACTTTAGATGAAAATAAGGAGCCCCTCCCCACGCCCCTCTGAGAGATATTTGGTTAAAAAGAACACAATGGTGCTCTAGGAGGAGATTCAGGTGATAAGGTGGGGGGGGGGGGGTTACCTTGGTTGGTGATTGGCTAATGGTTACACAAGTCAAAACATTGTTATGACATCATTAACCTGTTAAGCCCCAAGCCTGTTTTTCAGGTCTCAGGCTCGAAAATGACATTCCCAGAACAAATGACCATATCTTCCCTTCTAAAAGGGGAAAATTAATAATCTTTTTTCTCAAAGTAATGATAAACCTATGAGTTGGATGTAGAAAAGTCAGAATCAATATAGATGTTTTTTTATTTTAAAGAAAATTCAGATTGAACATAGTAAAAAACTAAGTTTTAGTGTCCGTCCAAAAATTCTTTTTTACTTTACGTGAAAACCACCCTTGAATGATGGGATGGTAGACTAAAAGCTTTAGGAATCCAAAGTACAACATATAATAAGTACCCTGTATCAAGATTGATGCAAAACAAGTGACATTTGACCTTTTTAGAGAGGTTTAGCAAAAATAACTCCACCTCTGGGGTGATTTGGGTGAAAATGGGCGTTTTTGCCGTTTCTCTGGAACCCATTGGTCGATTTTGGTGATTGATATCTCTTTTTAACCGTTAGCGCCAATAGAATCGAAGGGGGATTTTCACATACACACCAACGTTAACAAAATAAAGTGGGGGCTTCGCGGATGCAGTTTTTTTTTTTTTAAATAAAATAAAATGATCAGTTAGCTGAGTTTCTTCCTGTTACATGGATATAAAACATTCATAGTTTATTAAATATTAAGAAGCCCTCAGACGCTGCTTCCTGCAGATGATGCGTTTTTCCCCCCGGTACCGGGGGGATGGGGCTTAAGTGGCCAAAATCTGATCAGCTCATTTTCAGACAGGTTTTTATATAAATGGATCAGGACAAAAAGTGAGAATCTTTTTTCCTGAAACCTTGAGAATCTCTTTACACAGAGGGGGGGGGACACATGGTTATGTATACAAGACAGGAAAAGTGGATTTTGCATAATAGGTGACCTTTACTGTATTTACATTGGAGGTATAAGGTGATCACAAACACCCAGGATGACATTTGATATTTAAAGGTCTCCTTGATTACTAAGTGCTCAGGAGGAGGACTGCTCTATTCATTTGTAAAGCTTCTTGCCATTTCCAGTTATATGGCACATGAATTGTATGTTAAATTGCTGCAGCACACAAATTGTAAAATGCATCCCTCAGTATACATCAAACAGTAACATCCAACTGGAGGATCAAACACAATGCAGATGTTCACCGTTCTTTTGTCACAACAATGATGTGATAGATATATTTATTTTTAAAGGAGAAATGATCATGGGCTGAACGAAACAATTCCCTGGCATCTAAAAAGGGCAAGATGTTTCAATGCTTACGTCGTCCGTCTGCTGAGGCTCCTGCATGACAAACTCCCTGACCATGGAGGGGCTGAATTCCACCAGGTAAGAGAAGATGTCTGTAGCTGCTGCCCTCACCTGCAGGTCGTCCATTCCCTGAACAGGAGAAATAAACGAGTTAAGAGCCGAACAAAGAGAGATATCAACACACTATAAAGTTTCACAGTTGGACCATTCACAGACGAGAAACAAAAACCAAGGGACTGTTTCATGAGCAGCCAATTCATGCAACGCCCAGAGTATAATGATAAGATTGATAGGCTTTATTGTTCCTTTGGGAAATGTGTGTTGGACAGTAGTGCTTGCAGTATAAAATCTCAGCAAGACAACAAAAATATTCATCCAAAGTACACATGCCAACATACCATGACTATTTCAAGAGCAGGTAAAATTCCTAGATTTGCCAGAGTTTTAAAGAAAGCATCTCTGTTTTGTGGCTGCAACGTCTGTGAAAAAGCGCAGAATTCCTTGACAAAGTTCACCTGAGGAGAAGAGAAAACAGATTTAATGTTCCATCAAGATTCGACAGATTCAAGGAAACTGTTGAAGGTCATTGACAAAAATACTGTCTTCAAGCATTGTTGCATTTGTGATAGTGTTCAACAGTGGAAGACATTCTGGTGTAAAACAGTCATCCTCCCTATTCCAGGGTGAGACACTTTAAAAAAAGGTTAAATAAATGACAACTGCTGAGCTATTAGTATGAATTATTTCCCATTTTACTGTCATTGAGAGGCTAAACTGTAGGAATAATGTTGCTAATGTTGTTGTATTTTTGATAGACAAAAGAGGTAACTCACATCAATATCATTATGGAAAACTGCAGAAATGTCGGTAAATATTTAACCCTTGTGAATGAAATGGCATGAAAGACAGCAATCTATACATTTAGAACAGTAATACAGAGTACATTTAATTCCCATAGCAATGAATAGCAACATCACTTACAAGCTCTCTCCTTTTACTGTCCTCTGTGGCTTCATCTGTGAGCTGTGCAAACACCTCTGTAAGGAACTTCTCGTCCTCCTGTGGCACATGAAAAACGGGGTTCAGAAATCAAATACAAAGATGGACAAAATACGGAAAAATGTGTTCGTCATTTAGTGTGAGTCACAACATAAACTGGTGTGCTGTTCCGACGACACGGAGAACCTATGATTCTAATATACAAACATGTAGATATATATCCAACACCTGAATATAGAAATGGACGGACAGTCATTTGGATGTACAGGTATCTTTTTGAAATAAACACATGCTTCACATAAGCTCCATATTAAAAATCCACTTACAATCAAGACAATGGACTCCCAAACTCATTCACTGATTGACCTGACCAATTGTGTTTAAATTATTTTACATTTTTAATGTTTCAATCGTCATATTACATTTGATACTGTTTGAGCATGTATATGGAAATGTAGTTAGCAATTTAGCCAAAAGTATGAGCCATGTTATTCTTCAGAACCGCGGAGAGGGCAGGTTCTCTTGCACATGTTAAACAAATTTCAGTGGCAACTGATATTAAAACATTTACATATACATTTAAGAAAAACACTCTGCAAGCGGCAATGTTCAATGCAACCTGTTAAAATGCCAACGACATTCGGAAGAAAAAAAAAACGTCCGACAACGCATGGTTAATATATTGTACTTTTAGAATAATAAAAAGTTACCTGGTTTTGATTATTACCTGCAACATACTGACAATCTCCACCTTGTTGAAGAAGATAAAGGAGGTGAGTGTGGACAGGAAGTTCTCCTCAAAAACAGACGGCGTGGGCAGGATGATGTCCTGGATGTACTGCACCCGGTAGGTCTGGTGGATCTTCTGCCGCAGCTCAGAGTCCGTGATCGGGATCACTTCTTTAAACTTTGCCGTCTTGGTCAAGAATTCCCGGTGCCGTTTAGGCTGAACTAGCGCCGGGTCATACTCAAGGCATCCAACCACATCCATGATACAGTCATCAGAGAACATCACCTCGAATAGGGCCGCTTTATTAAGGAACAAGACACCCCGAACAATCTCATAGAGATGATGTAGGCCTTCCCTGTTGTCCAGGTCCTCGCATACTCTGAAGAGACCCAGGAGTTTCTTGATGTAGCCTTCGCTCATTAGGGCCAGGGCCAGTTTTTCTCTCCTGATGGGTGAAGAGAGGACAGATGTAACCAGGTCAGCGATCTCCTCCAGTCGGCTTAACTCGCAAGGAGGGAGCTCCACCAGGTGGCTCGTCTCTGGAATCTCCTCAAAGCGTTCCTCCTCCGACTCATCAATGGGGTCCTGGGTAATGTCCAGGGCAGGGTCCTTGCCTTGAACCTGGAAGATAAAAAGTTGGTAGATATGAAGTTAGGTGTCAAACTAGAAGTTTCAATGTAGCATTCGGAGCAGTGTCACTTAAATATCAGTTCTAGAAAATGGACAGTTTCACCCCTCCCGTTTGAGTACAACTTTTTTTTTTTTAAATGCATACTGTAACTTAAACTGGATGGTAATTACCTGGCAGATCTTCTCCCATATCTCATCGCAGCCTGCCTTTTCCTGGAAACTTAGGGCAAGGTCATAATTGTCAGCTTCCGACCAGACAATCAGTGTGTCCTGAAGTAGGAGAGAGAAACATCAAACTGTGTACTATGAACTGCTCATCATATTCACAGGAAACACTGAAACATGGTTGCATGAACTCACATGATCAAAACACCCTTCCAGAGAGTGAGCCTTCACACGTTACAAACAAGTACTTTAAAGGCTTTTCATATCCTTTAGAAAAAAAGATAAATGAGATTGCTTTGTCTACAATCAGATCTATTCAAGTACTCAAATCAAGTAACAGTTTTCTGTTACAGATTCCTCTCCACATACTGAATGATAATATCAATAGCAAGTGTTCAAATACTGATGATGTTACCAGTCTATTGCTTGATACCTAGTGTAGACCCCAAGATACTGAATCCTCATTGTCTGTGTTGCATCATTGTAGCAGTATTTGTTTAGCAACAAGTCTCAATGTTGAAATGATTACATTTTCACACTCCAAGTCTTAAATGACCCAGTGTTTGCTACCTTCTGTAGCTGATCAAATTTATCTTTTCTTACCTGTTGTTTCTGATATGCAGTATTCGGGCTTATCTTCGACTCCAATAGTAGAGATCCTAAAACACAAAGACTTGGGTAACTTGATTTTCAAGCTGGTGCGAATGATCACAACAAAGATTACCACAGGATACCATGACTAATTCTCGAAGGTTAAGAACAATTAATCTGTCTTGAAGTTGGAGAGCTTGCGACGCTAGGTAGACAATGTACAAGGATGAATAAAACACTTTTTCCAAAGTTGAAACAAACATCAGAAAGGCTTTTACAACAGTTATCCTATTTACGTGTTATTCATTTTATGCGTTGGTCTGTGGATGTACTCATAATGCTTTTCAATCCAAAGCATTTGTATCAAGTTAGTACATTTAAGACTAGACTTTGAAGGCCCCCCATGCTACAGATCACGTCGCCAGCTAAACCAAGGAGCTTGCTAGCACAAGCGATTCAATAAATGGTTGCCTTTTCTTTGGGGTAAGTTCTTATACCAATTGTTCCAACAGTTAGAAACTTTACAAACGCTGAAAGAAATTCAAAGCAGCATTCCCAATAAGTTAACCAAGCATACAGTGAACAATTATGTCCGGACAACAAGAAGTTAGCATGCTAATGTTAGCCCACATAACGTCAATGATGCTAAGCTAACTGAGAACTCACCGTCTGATTCGGCCCGAACTAATAATGATATTCCCTTTAGCCGTTCAACAAACGTAGAAGAAACGTGTCCGGTGCCCCGATCGTCCCACTGACGGTCTTCATTTAGCGTATATACTTTCACTCGCCGCCGAGTGTCCGACATGGTGAACCGAGTCGGAGCTAGCAGGCTAGCAGGATGCTAACAAGCTATCACCTCACCCCGTCTGGTGTTCTCTACCCTCGACCTGTTAACTTTGTTTCCACCCGCATGTTACACAACATGCACGTCTAAGTGAATTTCACAACAGGAGAGAAATGTATCAGTCGCTATTTTATAAACATATTCCGTTCACGGTGTGTAACAACTTAACGGGAGGCCTATTGTTAAACAGTCAAATTCACAGAGAACACAACAACTCTAACGGCCTTCTTGCTAACGTCCACAGACCGCCATCTTGTAATCCGATCTTGTGTTCTTTTTCTTCTTCGACGTCAATCAAGCGGTAACTGCCGCGCGGTCTCCTCCTCCGAGCGGAGTCAGCCAATAGCAGGCCGCAGCGCCGCCAGTGTTGAGCGACACCTAGCGGGCCAGAGGAGTAACAGCCGCAGCAGCAATCACCAGCTTATCAGAACCAGAACCAGGCTAAAGCAAAGTCGTACTGTTAATATATTTTCTTACTAAAACTTAAAGCATTTATCTTTCGCATTTCACATATTTATTTATTATTTCAATAAACAGTATTTTATTCCTGTACAGTATTTCATTTTACATTCTGTTTTTATCTCATCCTATTCTATTGTGCAGGTAGCCTATATAGTCTACTTGTCTTGCACTGTTTTATTTCTATTTTGTTTGTTTTTGCACTATTTTTATTGTTTTATGTATTTTATATATTTATGTTGCATTGTTGAAGGAGCTTGGGTCTTAAGATTTTCATTGCCATACACTGTAGCTATACGATAATACAACGTTTGAATCCTAAACCTGTTAACATCTCTGTAGATAGAGAAATAGAGAGCCTGAGATTCATGATTTGTATTGCCTATGCTCTTTAAATGTTGCACTTATGACATGAATAACTTAATTTAACTTAATAAACATAGCAAAAGAAAGAAAAAAGCAGAAACAACTCAACCCAAGCATTATAAATACAAATTAGAACGAGTAAAATTGAGATATGAACAAAACAAATACGTCACACATGTATATAAATACAATTGACTCTATTTCACATCATTTTTTATGAATTTATTTAGATTTCCTGCACTGGTAAGCCAAACAGACACAGAAGTTATTTCCATACCATCTCAGTTTATTAGTAAAGGTTTTGAGCAGCCTAAATGGAAAAAAAAGAAAACCCCCTCATGCTGCAGTTCAGTAATTACTATACTTTCCCTGCCCAAAGAAAGAGACTGATCCAAGTAATGGACAGTGCAGGGGATTTTTCTCTTTATTATTTAAAAAACGTTTCCTGTTCTCAACATTGGCTTCATTGAGGATTGTATGCATTCACAAACATTTAATTGTATTGAAATGGTCACCCAATGGAGATTTAATCTTCATGTTGTGCTCATTTCAGACACAAGATTTTGTTTCGGAGTTATACATATAGTAACAAATTCTGCCAATAGATTACAACAGCCACTCTACAGTTACAGACTGTTTCTGAGCTTCAGGGAATTAAGTCGTCCTCTCCAAAAATAAAAGTGTATCTCATTTAAGTTACCATGACATGTATTAGAGCAGCGATAAATTCAGCTTTTTTTTTTACTCCAGATTCGAGAAACTACCAATCATTCTTCAGTGATGCCTTCAAACTTAACGTGGACTTCTGACTTGACAATCTTGTCGCATTAAAATATTGGGCAAAATTAGTTTCAATTTAATTATGAATTTTTCAATGAATCTATTCTTATCATTATGCATGTTTTCTTCATCATATCTTGTAACCAGTGTTTTACAATCTAAAATCGCCCTGACCTTTTTCCTCTTTGGGAACAATTTGTAGCACTTTGTGTGTTTCTTTGTTGGCATCTGAATGCTGGGATAGAGTAACATCTAGTTCTTTATTTGTTTGCAGTATTTTTTTGCCGGAAAAAGTTGTGAACTTGCCACTACAAAGCAACCAGAAATTATCATTTAAAAACTGCTCATGTTTACTGGAAATGCAACACAACACTAAGGGAATATTGTTTTTGTTGTCCCCTTCTCCCACTTTCTTTGCTTTATTTGTCGATTTCAGCCTAGGAGACCCTGTTGACACCACATATAGAAGTCTCATACCACAAGAGGAACTACTTTCACGCGTGAATAAGAAATCCTTACATAGCAGTGTGTCCGTTGGGGGAAAGCAGGTCAAACAGAAAATAAAAACATAAGAAACCCCTCTACCTGCTCGATGCCGTCAGTTCTGGGGGTGCAAATCTGAAAACCATACACTACAGAAGTTGAAAATTAAAATGTAAAACATGTATATCTCTTGAAAATGTGTCTCATTAATATCCAAATGTCCGTTTGTGCTTATGGACTGAAGCACGATGAGAACAGGACGGTGTATTTGCTGAGATCCAGTTCACTCCAGTGCAGGTTATCACCCCGTACCCACCACAGCGAGGTTAACCTCTTTATATACAGCACTTGGTTCAGTTTGTGAATCGATCTGTCGCTCTTGGTCTGGTAGATTTCACCACAAAGCTGTTTTCATCTATTCCATTTAAATCCACTTTGGTGGCAAAGTCAGAAGTTATCCCGTAGAGTTGGAGATTCACACATCGGTGCCGGTGGTTTGGCTGTCGCTCGGATTTATGGAGATGCTCTGTTTCTCACTTAGTGTTTTGACCACAGTTGCAGCCGGAGACTGGAGCACCTTCCGTGAAAGTCTCATCCTGCCGTCTGTTGGGTCCCGTCCAAAGTATTTCACCTGTTAACATAAATCCAGTCAGAGACAATGATCCCAGAATGTCAACACAAGAGGCTCATTTCAACAACACAGCCTGCAGTTATTGACACGTACCTGTATCTGATGCCCCTCCTCTAAACCCAAAGCACTTGGATGTCTGATCTGAAAGTGGAAGATACAAAGATTTGTTCTGTAAGTTGTAACTTCATTCTCAAACATCACAGAACCATAGACACAGGTAAACAGTATGCAGAGGGTAATTCACTGACCCGTTTGTGGTCCAGTTGTGAGTTGTGCAGCAGGACAGCACTCATGTTGGGATAAAGTTTCACCATCACTCCAATGTCCCTGAAACAAAGAAGAAAACATGAGCATTTTGAATGATTTCTATTGAGACCTTGAATACATTTCTCATCGATGATTAGCCTGTTTGAACTGAAGTGCCAATAACTGGCGTCGAGTCATGCTTTATGTTAAACATCACCATTTATTCATTTACCTTATCTCAATGATGGTGGCAGTGTAGATAGCACCAAACTCCAGCTGCTGTTCTTGCTGCAACACAATACGGAAACAAGTATATTCAAAATGTGTTTACATACATACACATGCATCAGCCTCATGGTGTCACTCATTTTCAGCCCTGTGATATGGTGCTGCAAGTACCTTTTGGTATGCCTATAAAACACAATTATTTCTTGAGTTTGCAGTATTTGAAAAAGGTCCCTAAGTGGAGACTCACATCATCTTTGCAGATGTCACCGATTAAGTCTTGGGCTTCATTCATGGCTCCTGGTGTTGGAGCGAACACAGAGAAAGTCTCCTCATTCACCTGACTTATTGTCACACCTTCAAAAGAGAAAAACAAACAAATGTTTTCCGTTTAAACATTTTGATAAGCATTTATAATGGGTTGCAAGCAAAAATAAAAGGGAAAACTAATGTTTGGTTAGTGCCGTATTTCATTCCCAAAGATGTCCTGTTTGGTGCTCTGATTCAGCTTAATATACATTTTCAATTATTTGTTACCTGTTTGAGCTTGTAGTCTGCGGAGGTTGTAGCCCCCTGGACCAACAAAGTGTGCTCGTTTGGAAACAGGCACCTGGACATTTGCTGAAGACAGATTAAACACACACCAAACACATCAGCTGCCAGAACAGATTACAATTTGGTTGCATAAACATTCCTCGTTGTTAATGTTAACTAAAATACTGTATCAATCTTTGAACACAAGACTTACCAACAACAGGTCCGTTCTCTTTCCTTGAGTCTCTTGGCTTTGCTATGCTTTTGTTCATGATACCCAGGATTTCCTTCTTTGCCACTGGAAAATAAGAATAAATCAAAGGCCATCAAGCAACCAAAAATATGTCCACACTTTATTTGTTGCGTTAAATGTTCAGCTTACCTGTGCCCTGTTGGATAGCCTCCATGACCAACTTCAGAGGCAAACCTGGGATCTTCACGTCCGCCTGGAGGTTAAATAAAAGTGTGTTAAGGAGTGTAAAATATAGGCCTAAGGGTATAGAGAGGCGAAGTCCCTCCCTTTCCGGGGGACCTCCATGGGACCTTATTTCGGAAAAATTATGTATTGAAGTCAATGGTGAGAGAAAGATTATCTTTCGATCCCGTTTGAATTGTGCAAGTCAAAAAAATAGAAATGTGTCGTAAAACTGTGAAGCTGTGAACCGCTCAATGAACTACATCTCCCGTCTCGCACCACACACCAAGACGGCCGTCACGTTGGCACATTTCACTTCTTTCTTTCAGAATGAGGCGAAAAGTATTAAAAGAGGTGAAAATCACTACAAGTCTGGGCATGTTGAGAGCTGTACATACACACAAGGGGAGTTAGTCGGTTCATAAGAGCCAGCATGTGGGACCGGGATTCTGGGATTTGTAGTCTTTCTAGTTGCGTATTTTTCATAGTCTTATATTTAAACAGTTTTACGACAAACTGTGACTTTTTTGACATGGAAATTCTTTTTTAAGATTGACAAACATCATATGTGTAATTCGTGGCACAATTCAAACGGGATCGAAAGATACTCTTTCTCTCCCCATTGACTTCAATACATAATTTTTCCGGATTACGGTCCCATGGGTCGGAAGTAGATGGGCGGGACTTCGTCTCTCTATAATAAGTATTTGGAGCAACACAACTGAAGACAATCTTATAATATCCCCATATCACACAATTTACTTTAGGGGGCTTTATAATTACTACAGGATATTACACTTTCCACCCATGGGACCTTAATTTGGATGCCCCAAGAGTTGAAGTATCTTGTTATAAATAATAAAGTATTTACAAGCAAATCTTCCATTAAAGCTATAAAACATGCTGACGTGCCTTATTTGTTTCTCAATGCCCCAAAGTATATTTACACATCACCTAAAATGGGCTGGGTGAAATATTTATATGAAAAACTAGCTAGGGTTTAGTTTTCTTCTCAGTTACAGAGTAAGCCAAAAGCCTTGGTTAAGCCACTCTCTCTGAGTCATCAGACACAGTACCTGTAAAGCAGTGATGCCTTTGTTTGTGCCCGCCAACTTGAAGTCCATGTCTCCAAGGTAATCCT